CATAGTTAAATCTGCGTATATAATAAATTGGCTTTCGTTTAAATAAGCTCGCTGTTTTTAAGTTTATGCTTTAAACTTGGTTATCTTATAAATTCTGTGAAATGCTCTTGCAATGTATACTAAGTAATGTTATAAAGAGGATATATTTGAGTTTTTAAATGTTTATTTGTTCCAAAACAACTCAAGTGATTTTAAAAATTCTTTCATCTATATAAAGCTATATTATCAGCAAATAACATAGCTCATATATTATTAAAAAAAACTATGACCTAAAATATCAGAAATTTAACTATTTATGCTAATATAAAACACTGTCTTTATATTTTTCTATTGTAAAAATAATAATTGGATTACTTATCTGACCTGAAAATATAGAAACCTAATTATTAATCTGCAAATTTACCTATAGATATTGGCAATATTAGCATTACGCTATGAAAACCCAACGGCCAGAGATGCACATCACATAATTATGATACGTTCACATTAACATTTACATTTCATTTCAACAATACGCAGAGATTAATAAGTATCTTAACACGTATTATGTATTATTTTATAGTTGATATGTAGATACGTATTTTAAAAATATGCCTGCCTTATCAAAATAACTTCTAAACTTTTGTAATGAAGTAAAACAGATTATTTTTATAATGTATATACCGTTTATAGTGAGATTAATGATAGATTACAAGCGGAATACTCAAGGACGTATCATACTTATATGAAATATCTACGGCCAATTTTAACTACCGTAAACGTGGGCATAGATACTTAGATACCTGTAAACTTGAATAACTAATAGGTATCTAATTAATCGAAAAAAAATTTTTTTTTTTTTTTATTTATGGCTAAACACTCAGCAAATAACTTCATAAATATAAATTGAAATAGAAATATTATTAAAACATGAATTTCAAATTGCAATTAATTATTAAGTGGAAATTTAAAAAAAGGTAGGACTTGAATTCTCGCCTTCTATGCCATGCCGAAGCCAGTGTTATTACTAATTGAGCTACCACTTTACTGAAAAAAATACTATCTTATTTCTAAAAATCTAAATGAAAGAGGGTTATAAGAAATTTATCAGTAGTTGACGGTCGTTCTTTTTGTCTCCGTCTATTCATCAAGTTCCAACCGACGTATGTCTACCGGTATCCGGTGCGGGTAGTGCGACAATAGCGAGCGACGCGACGCGAGATCCGCGACAGAATCTACCGCAGCGTCAGCAAACGTGCGCAAATTGCTGACGCACTCGCGTTCGGCCCTTGACATTCGGTGTTAGTCAATACCATTCAGACGTATGGGAAATTATGGTGCCCAAGAGGATTTATTCATGGAGATTGGACGCAGTTGTGTCACTGGCGATCAAATTGTTTTGTGTAGAATGGTTGATTGTGGAGACTGGACTTTTTTTGTCAACACAAGTAATTTTGTTTTATTATTATGTTAGTAATTGATGTGATAATTTGTTGGCCTCGGTGGTCTAGCGATTTAACGTATCTCTTAGCTTTCTGATGGTCGCGGCTTCGATCGCCGCACAATAAAAATATTCGTGTTCATGAACACGTCTATTTGTATTGGTCTGAGTGTTTTTTAAGGATTTATAATATATAGCAATATCTATATGTTTTAGTTACAATATCTATATACAGGTCAAATAACGAATATGTTAAGTCTGTTATCCAAAAAATAATAATAGGTAGCAGACTTTTAACATATCCGAAAATAAATATTGTTTTCGGATATCTTAAAAATCCGACCGATATGGCCGATATCGAAATGGGTGATGACCTTTTTTCCGCCATCAATGTTCAGAGCAACCCAATATACTCATACAGATATCGTATAGATATCCATATTACCCATACCAAATATTTTCTATATATATTATATATGTATTAAAAAAAAGCATATGAGTAATTTCTATCAATTATCTAGTATCTTGTACTACAGACTTTGCTTAGTACGGAACTAGATGGCATTGTGTGAAATGTCTAAGGTTATTATTGTTATTGTCTGATTTAGTTTGCGAATTTGATAATTACAAGCCTACTTCCCTATTTAAAAAGTATATACCTACAAAACCTATATAGGTATTAAATTTTGCTTAGAAAAATGAGTCGATAATGTAACTATTTACGTTAAAATAAAGTTAATGTTGTAATTTAGAGTCATACTTTTTTTTTAATGGTTGATAATAGAATGGTAACCTCGCCTGCGCTAACGATATACACTGGCGGGGCTCCAATGAGAGATGATAGGTGCGAATGAAAAAGTAGATTAGTTAGCCCATCGTAATGAATTCACCTGGAATTTGGCACAATAGTTTCAGGGGTACAGGAGGTCCACCTGGTTGGGCATATTGCTAACAATGAAACTGGTAGTCCGCATTAATAACACCCTCCCCCCCTTCCCCACCCCAATTTAGAGTCATACTGAGGAAAAACAACAATATATACTATATATATAATATATATGTACTATCTTTTATATCAAAATAAAGCAATAATAAACTGAAAATAAAAAAGGTCGTACCATTCCCACAAGAGAATAGGTAGTCCATACCACAATCGTCTGACTAAAAATGTGTTATCAATAATAAACGAAAATTCAAGTTTTTTAAGCAATGTATCAGTTCTATGATATACACTAACCACATTCATTTTCCCAGGAGAAATAATACCCATATACATTAAAATCGATTTATATACGTGCTGAATAGAGCTAGACGTTAAGTTTCTAGGTAGTTTTTACTTTTTGCTTTGATCCAATGATATATAAAAAAATGTTCATGCTCCCTTTTTTACTTTATTCGGGCAGTAAATATTATACATTATTCTCATTTTCGTGTATTAGTATATTTTATATATATGTAAGTATATTTGATGTTTATATATATTTATTCGTTTATATATGTAATTTTAGTATGTATGTATATCAATAATTACTAGTACCGCATTCTAGTATTCTGACACTTCTCTATGGTTAACTGGGAGAGAATACTTTTAGCATTAAGTCCGCCATATAAACATATATGTACATATGTATGTACTAATGAATAAATAAATAAAAATAGGTCAACAATGTCAACATTACAACAACAACCACATAGGCAGCACATATTATTACGGAACGTAGGTAATTAGTAAACAACAGTTTAAATCCAGCCACATTAACCGGAGTGAGTTGGCAGCGTGATGGCCGCTGGCGCCAGCCCAACGCTTGCAGGAGAGGCGACACAAAGTGGTTGCACCGTTTACCGCCTTCATTTGGCAATCTTTCACTGCATAGTAATGCGCATTCAATTCATGTTACCCTATTACTCTTTTTGAATATTTTTATTCTTGTCGAATGGACAATCAGGAAATTGTTGTAATCGCTTAAAACACGTTTAAAGAAGGTAATACGACGGTAAACTTTTAGTAAACCGAAACAATTTATTTTATTTTTTTCTGAGAGAGAATGGATTGGTAACCCTGCTTACACAGGAGGAAAGGAATTATTAGTAATGGGTCTAACTGACCCATTGCCAGCAATACCCTATCAGGTAGACCTCCACGCGGCTCCCCCTGGAAACCATCGTGGCTAATTCTAGTGGAATTCTAATAACTGATCTCTCTGCTTTCATCGTCACTTATCATCCTTCAATGGTGCCCCGCCAGCGTATACCGATAGCACAGGCGGGGTTTCCATTCCATTATCACCCATTAAAAAAAACCTGCTTACGCTATCGACATATGCTAGCAAGACACCTGTGCGGAAAAATTAATGAGGATGAAATAGATCAGTTATATTGAGTTATATCGAGACGAATTCAAAAAGAATTAACCACGATAGTTTCCAAGGGTAACCGCGTGGAGGTCGACTTGATAGGATATATTGTTAGCAATAAGGTCGTTAGACCCATTACTCTCCTATCTACATGAAGCTATTAACATAATTGTCCGTAGTTGAATTTTAAAATAGACGCTTATAAAGTAGATCGTAAAATAGACACGCAAGATATCAAGTTAACTCTATGATATATGTATCTCTAATGATTAAAAAAGCCAGTTTATATGAATCATAAATAGGTATTATTCATTTCGTATAGACCGTGCATAGAACTATACTACTTGTGTAGTATTTATTATCTGTGACTGTACTCTTGGTAAATAATTTACCTACAAGTTGCCTATTAAACTCAGCTAGGTATACAAAATTAATGAGGCTTATTTTTTTTTAATAGATGGAAACACCTGGATGGTGCACTCTAAGCGGGTACTAGGGGGAAGGCGTTATTAATAATGCGAACTACCAGTCTCGTTACTAGCAATACACCGTCAGGTCGACCTCCACGTGGCTCCCCCTGGAAACCAGTATTCTGAATTCCAGGTGTATTCATCACGATGGGCTAACTGACATACCTTTTCATTCTCACCTATCATCCCTCACTGGTGCTCCACCAGCGTATACCGTTAGCACAGGCGACGTCACCATTCCATTATCATCCATTAAAAATCATCTATGCTAATGATGTACAATAACGGGACACCAGTGGAAGATTAAACGATGAGAATGAAGTTAAATCAATTACCCATCATGATATAATAGGAGCTGGTCACGAAGAGTTCTAAGAACAACCGCGTGTAGGGCGACCAACAAACAAGGTATATTGACAATCCTATGTGAAGGCTTATTATGAGAGCTTAAGATCTAACCATTTTATAGATTATTTAGTTGCTATGCAAATCCCTATTAAAATCATAGACAAGAGAAACCAGTTTGTGGTCGCATTAAATAAACTAGCCAAATATTTTCAAAGTCTGTAATAAGCCCAGTGGATTCATGTAATGTGGCTTTTTTAACCTTTTCAGACCTGAACTAAAACCTGCGGGACGCTGCTGCCCATTCTTTGACTATTACATTTCCTTAGTTGCCAGTTACGAAACCCACGGTAGAGGAAGAGGTAGCTTATTCGATGCCGGGACCACACGGCAATAAAACAATATTGTTATATAATTAAAAATTTATTACTACAATAATTAAATAAATACTTATCTATAGTACAACAAACGGCTATTTTTTCAAACAGTAGGTACATACAGGTGGAATGTATAATCTGTATTTATATTAAAAATAAACTATAAAACAAGACCATTGATATGTTTGAAATTATGAAATCTAACATTTTAGCAGTGTATAAAAATTATTGCTCTAATACTGAATTGTTCGTCCTTTTATTATTATTCATAAGAGAAAAATACCTTCAAACTCGACGATTTGGAGTACAAATAAAAAATATTGTCTACACTTACATGCCACGCCCCTCCAAAATCCAAAGAATTAAAATATTTACAAGGTTTCGACCAAGGAATATAATACTCATCTGACCAGATCGCTACCGAAGACGTTCTCTCACAAACACAAAAAGAGTATCACGTTGAAGTAAAAAGTTGAAGAGGCGTGCCATGTTAACGTAGATAATTCGTATCACGTGTGTGATGTGAAAGTATATTTACATAAAAAGTAAACAATGGCTTTATTGATGATAGAAAATTACCTAGAAATAATTTTAAAATCAATTCTGATATTTTGGCAAAATTCCACATTGAAACGATAAACCTGTGATAACACTTTTTTCGATGTGACAAACTACAGGTTATATTCAAATTTTTAATTTAAGTCTGTATGAAATAGAAAAACAAAAATTATAATAGTACTAACTCAATCCATTTAGGTTACCCTTTCCAATACTTTTTACACAATAACAAAAAAGCAAAAGTGAAGAAAAATATTTTAAGATTACACAATAGAAATATTTAGTAAACAGGATCACGTTCAGTAAACAGTATTTTATGGTTCAGATCTACAATATAAAAACTATTTTGGTCACATTAGTTGGTCAAACAAATATTTTAAAAATTATGTACTTATAAATTTATTTAATTTATTATATAAATTTAATCTATTTACAAGTAATCTTGCATTATTTTTATATGCATTGATTATTCAAGTTCCAAAGGTTAAGAGAGTTCATACCGCAAGACCAATAGAGTTACAGATTTTTTTTAAACTGACAGATAAAGCGGACTAAAAATTCCCATTTTTAAATTTAAAAATAAAAAGATGCTCTCTTGACTAATCTTCTTCTTGACAAATTAAAATGCATTTAAATTTTTATCATAGTAAATCTCAACTTATAGTATAAAATAAATCATGCAATAGTTTTACACTTAATATTGTCATATGAGAGAAGCTTCCTCTAAAATGTGAGTGAATGCAAGGCACTATTAGTAACAATTAATGTATCATCAATAGCCTCAAAGCTTTATTACTTTTCCATAGTTTTATTCCCACAAAGAAAGTCAATTACCTATACTAACTTATATAAATAAATACACTTTAGAAAAGCACACAATTGGGCATTTCAAGATTGTATAATTCAACTAAAATAAATTTTACTACAGTATACCCCAAATATTACAGGTACAATACTTTCAGGTATACAAGTGTTGACTTAGACACTATTAAGATATCACAACTCATGCCACATTATAATACGAAACTCACAACTAACCTCTTTTAAATTATAAAATACAAAATAAAAATATAATTATAAATTATATATTACTTTTAAAACATATAATCGTAATGATCCGCCGGCTTCACACGAGTAGATACAAATATAAATTAGTATTTTGTATTAGCTTTAATAAGCAAATCTTTGATACTTGGGATTACATCATTGTAAAGTTCGTAGGAATCTCTAGTTTTATTTTTCAAAATCGGTTGAGTAGTTTTTGAGTTTATCCATTACAAATGTACAAAAATATATTAATATAAATTATCTAATACACCAGAACATCACAAAATACACTGTGACGCCCATAGCACCCTTCATGCGTTACCATTCCTGACGACTATTCCACGTCGTCAATCTCAAAGCGCTCACGACTATCTACAATACTTAGTAACCAAGGTTACTAAAGATAGATAGATAAAAACTTTGAGTCATCTATGACACATATAAATGATTAATTAAAGATAGAATACAATTTACCAAAAAGGTAATTGGCACAATGGTCGCGTATGCATATTTAATAAAAATTAAATATGTAGCTGTCATTTCTATTTTACATTTTGTGAACATAATTAGTTCATATGTTTACTGATTTCTTTGGAACTGGTACTCTGGAAGAATTTGAATACAGCTTCTTGAATAGGTCTTGTATATTATTATCAGGAAACAGATTCGTTAATATCGCTGCAACAAAACAAAATTAATATAAATATAACTAAAGATTGTGCCTCATAAACAAAAAAGACTTAAAGTGTGACAAAACCAGTTATTTTTATCTAAAAATTCAAATACTGAATCGATTTTGATAGATTTTCTATAAGACAAATCTGTAAGTATGTATACCTTTCCTTTCAGATAAAAAAGAATTTTCCAAATCGGTTTAAAATTGACTGAGTTAGGAGGAAACAAATAAAAAAATAACCGAATTAAATATCTCCTTCTTTATAGTTCTTCTTTTTAAAAAAATAAGAAATAAGAGGATAAATTTTAACATGAAAATAACATATAAATAATAAATTTACATCTATATTAAGTTTTAAACATCATGTTCATAAACTGGACAAAGTGTTAAATAAAAATGAAATTGTGGAATAGCACAAGTTTTTACAAGATATTATTTAACTTACCTTGCTTATTTTATTTATTATTTTTAGCCGTTCAGAATTTGCAATTTTTTTTAATTATACATATATATTAATTATGTACATACGTTTAGATATTATATTAGATTTTACGTTTTTTTTTTAGGATTAATACGGTCAGTTAAAGCTTTAAATAATTTTTAGCTTTAAATATATTTATAACTCTATTACTACAATAGAAATAAGTACTACACTTATTTCAGTAGCAGACTTATATTTTAATGTAATACATGTAAATGTAATGTAATACGATCTAATTACATGTAAGTTAAACCGATAGCTATTGGTTTAACTTACATGTAATTAGATCGAGAAAGCTCGACTTGTTTTGGGATCTATTCGAGACCCTTAATCATGAGCGGCTGTGGCGCTGAGCGCAAGCTGTATGCGGTTGTTATTACATTAAAATATAATGTATGTTTACGAAACTTTTAACAATAGTAAACTTACCTTCTAACAGTACTAATATAAGCCTCCGATTTATCTCTTGGGTTTGAAATAAATCGAATACAGTCAGCAAACCTCTTCGTGCAGTATCCGAACCGGCAATATGACGCAGATCATCTATAATTTAATTTTATTAAATAAAAAAATATTTGGATAAAAAAAATATAGTAAACGGTTGTTAGTACTTTTTTAATACAATACGGGTCTTCTTCGCCCTTCGAGCAGGAAATAAGTAGGCCTCGGAGAGAACCCCTTTGTCTCGGCTTCTCCAGGGGCTACTAGCGTCTGGCATATGAGGTGAAATACCAGCTAGAAAGTAGGCGTTCTCTTCTCTCTCTTTTTTTATTTAATAAATACATACTGAGCCATTATTCTATAATTATATTATGATATACATTTTTTTTAAGTTTTTCTTACGTGTGTATTTTTTTTGTTAGAAGTACATCCCTAATCGCAACTGTCAGTAAATATATATATGTTAAAAAATAAAGAGTTAAGGACCACCGCTATTATGCTGCAGTCTCTCCCCTTGCTTGGGACGAGACAAAATATATACCTAATTCAGAGGGGGAAAATGAATAATGAGAGGAGAAAAGAAGAGAAGTAAGGAATGATGTAGGGTGTTAAAATTTTGAATCTGTCTTCAACAAACACTCTTAATTGGATAGATGGTGGTATGTTCGCCCTCAAATATACTAGTTTCAAACATGCAAGGCGAAATAAGTTCAAGTACCACGTTCTCCACAACGGCTAATACCTCTACAAAGCGCACTTGGGAGAGTTGTGATCATATTCTTTTTAAAAAAATACCTCTAGACAAATTGCACAGCGCCATCTAGTTCCAAACTAAGCAGACATGACAGATATGACATAATGTCTATTTTTTTATGTATAAATATTATACGTAGAATCCATTCAGACGTATGTATTCATAAATAGAAAGGTTTTTATTGTACGGGGATCGAACCCGCGAAGTCGTTATACAACACTACCTAACTGATTACCTGTGCAGGCACCGAGAAGAGCAACTTTAGCAGCAACACGTGTCCTAGCCTTAGTAGCCGAGTCTCTGGTCACGTAACTCACATTATTCCTTTGCGTTAACCACTGCCTGAAAAAGACACAATTTACAAAAAAAAAAAGTGACCGTATTCAGGGTATATAAATTGATTATTTAAAAAATGTGTATGCGTGCAAACTCAACTATGCACAGTTTATCAGCGTATCCATATGTGTGAATATATACTTACTTAAATTTCTTTAAATATTTTACAACATTTCTTGGAGATGTCAATGATGTCACTAATTCTCGAACTTTCCTGAGAACAAACAAGAAATAAATAATAACTTATAATACAATATAAACGCTTATAAATTTATAAAATGCCAGCAAGACATCCTATTCGTATGGCAGATATTAATGGACTACGCTATACTTCCATCTAGCGGCCTGTTAACGAGAACATCAACTATGAATTTGTGCAACATAAGTATATCTATGCTGCCAATATAAATAATATTGAAAAACAATAGATAGAGTATCTATTGTTATCCAGAAGCAGAATTCAACGTTGATACTTGAATAGTATAAAGTCGAATGACATTTTAATTATTTATTTAACAATTAAAAATCTGTAATAGAGTAATAATCAGTCTTAATTTACATATAGATATACACATTCATACTTATCCACACGATCCGATATGAGAGTTCTCAGCGGAGCAAGTAGACGACGTCTCAGCCAAAGTCCTCTTATTCCCAGTACTTCTTCTAACAACCGTAGCGCTACACTTTCATCCCCATCCTATAAATAGAATAAAAAATAATAATTAAAAGAATAATCCAATAAAAAATAAACTTAATAATGAATACATAAAATAATATATCTCTTTAAAAAAAATAAGAGCACTTGTTTCTGTGGCCAACTCTCTCTCGCTCTCATTCTTTTTTCCAAATATTTTTAGTCGGCTTAAAAGAGTATGCAAGGTGAGAGTCCAAGCCTGACCCCTTTATACATTTTATTCATAAAAAATATGTTGAATATTTTCGTATATAAGCTTTGAGAAAATCCTATTTAATCAACCTCAACAAAAACGATAAATTTATAAACTATGATACCATCTAAAATCTTCAAATTCAGAAGACGACGAGTACTTTTTTAAGTCCTTAAAGCTTATGACTGCATGGCTATGATCCCTTTACCATGACAGAACTGATGGTTACCAAACGAGTCGACAGATTTTCATCAGATTTAGCTACGAAACAAACCAAATAAAACAACCCTTAAATAAAATGCACTGAACCGCAGTCCATTTTCTTGAAAGCGACGATGACAAGCAAAAGAACAGACAAAAGCTTCAAACATACTATAATGCCTCCCTTTTTACAACAACATCAGGATATAATCATTTGTCTACCTACTAACCACTCAGACTAATCCAACGAGTCTAACTTTTCTTTTACGCAACTTAGAATGGTAAACAAGCTGACGTCCTGATATGTTTTATCTTGATACGCCATCTATAATTATCTACTTTCAAAATCCACGCGTATGAAGATGCGAGCAAATACTATAGTATATATATATATATATATATATATATATATATATATATATATATATATATATATATATATATATATATATATATACATATATATAAATAGGAATCTATGCGTACACAAATAATTTGAGTAGAACCCTTCGATGGTTTATTCTAAGATTGTTTTGACAGAAACCCATTCCAATTAAACCAGCTTTCAAATAAAAAAAATACCGATCCAGACAGATACATAACACAAAGAAACACACATTAATGTCTCCAAACTCTATGGCCTTTTTACATCGGAAATGACAAAGGAGGAAACACATCCCAAAAGACATCTTTTCCTGCTTTACAAATAAATTTTAAATATTTTGATTCCCGACCCCTCCACCGTTCCGAAAACCTGCCACCCGAATCGGCCACCGTTGAGGCAGCCACTGGGGTCGGGCTATATGGGTGGATTCCTTCCACTTCGCTGCAGTATCAGCCAATCGGCTCCGGATGTTTAAATGTGTCTTGTGCATATGACGCTGTAATAGTAGTATAATAGAACAGTATATTATGTAATTATACTAAACAGAATTTCTCACTCACATTAAATGCCATATATTTAAATTAACCCTGTTCGCTGCACCATAAATTAAATATCTAGCTTTGACTTTCATGAGACAGGCTTTGCCCAGTGTTGGGTCATACCATAGACTAATTTTGTTTAAGGAAATAAAGTTTATTAAGTATAAAATATATTATATATTATTTAATATATATTTTATATTATTTATTATCAGAATATATAATAATATTTTTAGTACTACTTCATACTGTGTAGTCTCTCTCTCTCTCTCTCTCTCTCTCTCTCTCTCTCTCTCTCACACAAGCTGGCCTCACCAGGCCTCTATGACTGGAGTAGAGGAGGGGAAGGCGGTAGATTGCTATTAGTGGAGCCAAATCTTTAACCAGGGGCTCTATGCCTCCTTTCTTCCATAAGCTGATGTACACCTGTATCATGTATGAATTTCTGATTTAGTAGACTAGAAGAGAAGGACTGCTAACCACATTTCTCATATTATCATTAGTAGCGTAATCAAATCTTCTTAAGTTCGTCATGGTAGACCAAGTGACCTTTTCATCCTCCCCTATCACTTGTCACTGATAGCCCACCAGAGTATACCGATAGCGCTAGCAAAATTACTATTCCATTTACATTTATTTTTCGTGTAGTAATACATTAAGGACAGAATACTTGTGTGAAGTGTTCGGTATTGTTGGCGACAGACCTTTTTTATAAAAGTTTACCTTTTAAATTTATATTTTTATATTTTAAATATGTCTTTTAATACCTATTTTGTTTTTATATATATATATTGCTCGCGTCAAGGACATTATACTGGTAAGCCTCTCTAATATATTATTTTATTATTGCCGCTGCCCTTCTCTTCTACCAGCGCCGTTAATAGGTATATTAGTAAGTATATAAGTGTAATCCTATATAGGGTAGTCAGAGACATTTTATAAACGCAATGTCGTGATTGAATTATCATCATTAGGATAATGTTGTGTTAACTCTCAAAATGAAAGAATAAACATTAATGATAGAACTGACCTCTTGTCCTTCAGAAGAGCTGCCACTTTTTAAGTTATCACTATAATTATCGCTTTTCCCTTGAAACACCTTCGATATACCTAAAAAAAATTATAAGTGTAGAAACAAATATTTTTCATAGAATATATCAATATAAAATTTACATATAAATAAATGATTACCATCCATAACGCCGTCGACAGTGTTTACAAATTGATCGGGCATATTTTTAAGCGTCCTCATTCCAGCTTTTAATGGATTTACAAAAAGCGCATCGATCTGAAAAAAATCACGAAAATAATTATTTATAGTTTTTAGTTATATTTTGTTAATTACCTACGTTTATTCAATAATGAGAGGAAATATTTCGCTGTCAATTCATAATTACAGAATATACTACGTCATTAATCAATTCATTTCAAGTTAAATAAAAATAAATATTAAACTACGTGGCTTTTTAATAAAAGTATATTATCATAATACAAAATCTTATTTTAAATACGCTTACTTAACGTGACTTCGAATTCAAAGTGGATTCAATCCACGTCGAAACGTCGGCAATAGTAAAGCAGGTAAGTACTATTTACCTGCAATTTTTTTACCGCGTGAAGTCTCGATAGTCTATTTAAAATATGTGTCAACAACACGAAAGTTTAAAATTAACTATATACAAAATCTTACTGCGATTAATAATATCTAGAGGCGCCACTGTGTCACAAAGTAAACAAAACATAAATGAATGTAATTTTTAATCATTGCATTTAGTCTGTGTGGCCTATAATAAACCACGACAATTCCCGCGTGAAATAGGATAAAATAATCAATTTTATTATGTTCAAATTTCATTCGAATCACATCAACTATTTAAGCATTTTTAAACGGTTATTTTTTATGAACCTATCGCTCAGCTCGGAAGGTAATTTTAGCTGAGAAGTACCCTACTTCTCAGCTAAAATTACCTTAAGATTTTCAGCTGTTACTTTTTTCAAATAAAAATTGAATTTACAATTAAAAAAAAAATTAAGTTCATATATTGATTAAAATCATTACTAACTTGCTTGTTTATAATAAAGTATGATTAAATTTGAAGAATTAAAATAAAGAAATTGAAAATAAATACTAGAATAAATAAACATTAGTATATTGATAACTTGATTAAAATAGGACCGTCTTGGTCCCATTTAGTTGGTCTCGTAGTTTATCATATATCATTGTAATTATACATATATAGTTGTATTTTTTTCATGTAACTGTATTTTTCTGTAAAATTTGTGGAGAAAATAAATAAAAAAAAAATAAGAATAAATAAAAAAATTTAGTTGGTCTCGTAGTTTATCGTTGTATGTATTGTGTGTACTATTGAAAAGTCTTCTGCAGTGCAATGTAATTATACTTGTTAAAGGACTACGTTGTATAAATATTACCGTGTTATTATGTTTCTCTGCCTGGATCTCTTCACTAAGGAAACCACCCAAATATTCCTCGGACAATAGCGCAGTATACCTCGTCTCTTGAGCTAAGTTCGCAAGCTTCTGTAGGTAACTGTTTAGTATCTTCTTACGACTCTCGAGTACCGCGCGTGACGTGTTTTGGAAGGTTTTTTTGGCTGGGAATGGAAGGTTTCCTAGCTCTGACCACTGTAAATAAAAAAATATATGTTCAGTTTTTTTTTTCTTAAAAGAAATTAGAATGGTAGCCCCGCCTACTCTATCGATATAAGCCGGCGAGGTACTGATAATTGATAATAACTGTGGATGATGTGAAGTCATATGGCCCATCATGTCGAATTGTTAACCGTTATTAAATAATATTATAAACATTGATATTTTTAATAGTAGCCTGCCAAAGATATTAAAAGCGGCTCAGAAATATCTGGAGTTAGGTTAAATACTTTTATTATAACTTTGTATATTAGCACACTAGATTTATAACATTGATTTGGCTTTTACTATTATAATGTTGTATTTATTTTTAATGAATAAATAAATAAATAAATAAAAATTCACTACGAATTAACCACGACGGTTTCCAGGGGAGCTGCGGTGCGTAGGTCAACATAATGTCTGTTAAGGGTCAGTAATATATAGAAATATCTATTTATTATTACAATCTCTACGTAGTAGTCCAATGACAAATATATTAAATATAGGTTATTCAATATATAATATCGAAATGAAAAATTCGATCGAAATTGATATACTTATAATTATCCAAATGATATAGACAATATCAAAATGCGTAATGACTTTTTTACACCATAAATGCTCATAAAAACTCAAGATATAGATATAGAAGTGGTGCTAATTTCCTCCGTGCTTAAAATATATGCTAGCAATGAAATAGCATTAGTCTTCATTAAACAACCCCTTCCAAGACATTTGTTACCATGTCTATAATTCTGTTTACTGCAACAACAAAAAATTTTTAATAGCGGGAATTGAAAAAAAAATTATACCTTTTCTTTGATTGAAGTATGCAGATCATAGAAGTCACTGTACCGCCTATAAATATGCCACACCGCATTGTCGGAGAGCCTTGTAACTGCTATGGCGTATGTACCGAACGTGCGTCCTTTCTCTTGTACGAGTGCTGAAAATAAAATTAATAAAAGAAAATAAAATATAATCAGGACGTCGATAGGGGTCGCCCTAGATGGACGTATGTCGACCAAATAGGTGACGTGTTGAAAAAGGACCAAATTAAACATACCTGCAACATTCTAAAAAAAGTACAAGGTTAGTGGGACGCAGCGATAATAGATTTAAAAATTAAATAAAATCAATTTTATAAAAAATTAAAACTACCCGAGACTATCCAGTTATCCTCTTCATACCTCGTAAATATTGTGTCCTTCTCCGACATCAGTAACTGAAGCGAATATTTGCTAATGCGTATTTGAAGGGGTGAGGTCAGATCGAAAGGCAAAGAGTATCCATACTCTTCTTTAGTGCTATTACTTATTCTGTGGTAATAATGTATACTTTTTAGTTAAAACGATGTTGAATATTAAAGAATAACTTACCAGTTTCAATAATACATGCTGACAATGGTGACATCATATTTTTGGCATTTTTGCTGATCTCTGAGTGTGATAAAGACAGATTGCTTGTATTCGCTGATATCAAACTTGATGGACCTACGGAAGAAAGTTTAATTTATAACTTAAATTTCATATTCGATTATATACTACTTGCATAATTTTAATACCTGTAAATATTACAATTCATCTGTATATCATCTGTAAATTTTATTTAAATCTGTTGAAACGTTTAGTTGGAACGAAATAACAAATATTCAAACATACAATTTTATATTAATAACATTAATAATCCTGTGTAACATGAATAAATAATAATATTCAAATATTTAAAACAAGTACAGTACTAACCTGCTCCTTCGTTGATCATTTTTTGAGCGAAGTTACCAACTATGTCGGATCTTGAACGGTTGTGTCTTGAGGTTGGTAGCGGAAGCACATCGCCTGTTATAATAAATTGTAAAAAATGCATATGTTTTTGCCACAATTTATATACTTTATTTATTTATTACCATTATAATAAATTTATTACCTATATATTTTATCACGTACACTTAAAATTGAAGGTTTATAATTAAATGATATTCAATAACTAACACGAAAAAAAAAAATGAAGAAAATAAAATTCAGAACGTTTGATAAAGTTATATAAAAATATGTAATTTACAAGTGCAATAAAGAATAAAAGTTAAAAAAAATACACAGGCGAACTGTTGCTATTTTATTATTTTTATTAAAACGTATTAGCCGATGAATTCCCGACTTTTTTCTCTTATCAAAACGAACCTTTCAAGATTTAGTTTAAATGTTGTATGCACAATAATTCAAAAATAGAAAATAGAGAACAGAAAAAAAATATTTACTGTTATAAAAATAGATAAATCTAACTTCAACAATGTTTTCGATCGACACTGAGTCAACATACTCGACAGCGTTTGGGGAACTACAGCAATATTTTCTTCTATCGTAAAATATCACAAAGTTTAAAGTTGAAATCTATAAACAATGCATGCATGCCAGTGAACAAATCATCATCATCATATCAGCCTTTAACCGTCCACTGCTGAACATAAGCCGCCCCTTGAGAGGTTTTGCCAGTAGTAACCACGCTTGGCAGGTGGATTGGCAACCGCAGTTAGGCTTTAGAGATATTTTGAGAGGGACGCTGCTGCCCATCCCCTGCCCTTCCTTAGTCGTCTCTTACGACACACACGGCAAAGGAAGGGATGGCCTACTGTATGCCGGGACCACACGTCCAGTGAATAATAATAACAAATAAACAAAAAAATATTGAACTGAGACATGGTCTTTTATTGCCCTATGACTATATTTCAAATATCTCAATGAGTTATAGAAAGAGTCAGGATCGAAATTCCATAAAATCGGAAATCAAAATGTCTACAGCAAAACAAGTAACCGCTATAGTCCGAAGTATCAGCCAAACTGAACAGGAACAGTAGTGAAAAACAGTACTTTAATAGCGATCCTGTACAAATGTTGCAGAGTAAAACATATATAAATACGCCAATTAGTCATTTTTAATGAATATATATATATATATATATATATATATATATATATATATATATATATATATATATATATATATATATATATATAAGTAAATTAATGAACTCACAGCGTCTCGCCTCGCACGCTGGAACGCTGTAACGCAAAGCACCAAACGCTTCCTGAAGAAGACTTCCGTATGAAGTCGAAACGTTGTCGAAACGACAAAAACACAGTGAGTCCATTAATTTACCGTTACTTATGTATATAGACATCGTACTTTATAACGATAAATGGAATGACTTATATTCAGCAGTGGATAATATATAGATTCATGATGATGATGATGATGATGAGAAAAAAGTGGAACTAGGATATAGTAGTAGGAATAATTTAATGAGAAATTTCGTAATGTAATACAGTAATACCAAAAGTTTTGCATTTAGGTAGTGTGTGGCTCTTGTTACTTGGTATTCTTCGTGTAAGGGAACGAGGAAAGGTGGAGGACTTGAACGGGACCTCATACTTATATTTGGGCTTGAAAAACAATCTTGGAAACTGGTTCAGACATGATTTCACAATTCTCTTGAACTTGTCTGCCAATTTAAAGTACGTTGCATTTAGACGTCATATTGTTATGGCAAATGTATAACATAAAACAAACATACTATATACATAATACATGTAATCCCTGGTGGGATAATTAATTTTTATAATTCAAGTAAAATTAATGTCGACGATTTGACAACGTCTTTACTTTTCTTTTTTTTTTTTTCTTTTTAATTTAATAGAAATCGATACATTCGCATTTATATGAATTGTAAAACTGTCACCCCTTATTAAATAGGATGTAGGGTATCAGGATATTGGTACAATGTGTAAATAACGATATAATTACTAAATACGTACCACCGTATTTTCTATTATCGGGCTTGTCGTCTTTTTTTAAATCACTGGAACAAATTATTTGTAATCATTATGACTTACTAGCGTGTACTGTGACTTTGGCCTAGTAAATAAGAATATATTTTTTTAGTTAATTACACTTTTACGTTTGTATATTTATTAACAATTAATTTTTGTACTTCCAAAAAGGGGTTTCTCAATTCGTCTGTATTTTTCTTGCAATGTTACGTCATATCTAACTCGATTATAAATAATTTATTAAAGTAAATTCTGGTATTAGACCCATATTATTTATATATATATCTTTTTTTAAATTGACGTTGATATTTTTTACTGGACAATATCTTTTATTATTATTATTATATGTAAGACATACAAGATTTTTTACGTTTTATGCAAATAAATAATGGGCGTCTATATATAAACAAACAACACCACGAGTATCGCTAATTATAAACGAAATCGTACGCGTGATTTCCAGAAATAGAAAAACTAATATATCAATTGTAGATGATGTACCAATATAAAACATACACCACATTTTAAGTTAGGCTTTCAAAAATACCACTGTGAAATCCGCATCCAATTTCATGTAGTAGTAGTTTTAACATGATACTGGAACAAATATACAGACAGACAAAATTTCTAAAAATTATTTTTTTGGCATCGATTGATCTTGTAATGGCCACTCATATATATATTTTTTCTTAAATATCTCCCATGCATAGATACAATTTTATTAGCTAGTCATTATCTGTCCACTGTTGAACATAGGCCTCCCCCATACATTGCTATAAAGAACGGTCCTGAGCCACCTGCATCTACTGACTCCCTGCAATGTATTTACGTCGTCGTCACTCGTCACTCCACCTAATGGGGGAGTCATCCTACGCTGCGTTTGTTTTATTATATTAGAAAGATTTTATCCTCAACTTCACGGAACCAAGATATAGTGACTGACCGAAATAAACAATAGCATATGTACTTCTCCATTAAAATGTGTGTATGCTAAATTTAATAACAATTGTCTGAACTGTGAAGACGCCAAAAGGTAACAAACAAACTCACTTTCACATTTATAATAGTAGCAAGAATTTACCTGTAATTTCTGTCTGCGTTATCTTCGGTGTCCATCATGAAATCAGATTGCCACGACGGATCGTCCTGAATAAAAATAATTATTGTTAAAAGGTTTTTGTGGCTACACTTTACTATAGTATTACTATTTACTATATATATACTATATTACGTCACTAATTCTCAACCAATTTTCACAATTATTTTTATGTTATACTATAAAGTTTACTAAGTTCTTCCCATGTTATTTTTTTTCTATAAACTTTTGCTTGTTATGAAACAATATCTAATTACTCCACGACTTCCTCGCATAAAATGTGAAAATATATTCACTGAGTGGGAAAAAAGTAGCATATGTCTTTCTCTATCCCATATGTGTATATCAAATTGCATAGTTCTTGTTAAGCCGTTAAGGCGCTAAGAGGTAACAGACAAACAAACTCACTTTTATATTTTAACAATATCAATAAGGCTGTAATGTCACTATGAAACATCTCATTTTTGATCAATGTATGTGATTATGCTTTTTGCAAAACAAAATGTACTTCTTTTAGAGATCGAATTTGATAAAACAATTCAGTATCAACCCCAGTATTGTACTTATATAAATAAAGATAGTATCCCATAAGAACCCAACATCATTTGAAACAAAACCATTTATTAAAATTTAAAAACTAAACTACAGAACTGGTTTTGATAAATTTCTGTAGGACCAATCTGTATATCCTTTCAGATAAAAAGAAGTTTCCAAATCGATTTAGAACTAACCGAATTATGAGGTAACAAACAAAAGAAAAACAACCGAATTAAGAACCACTTTCTTTTTAAAGTCGGTTAAAAATATAGGAAATGAAAAAAACGTGCTCATGACAAATGTACAAAATTACCTCTAAAGCAACGCAGACGCATTTTTGCACATCGTCAAAACAGGCCGCTGGGTTGTTGGTGAACTCCTCGCCTTCCATCGTTATTTTCCTCACCAGCTCCGAATAGCAATTCTCAGGTATACCCATTACAGTGGGCTTGTTTGGTGCTAGGTACGAGTCGCACAGTTCTAGAGCTGAAGACCTTAGGTTGTCCAGAACCGCTTTTGATGTGTATGGCGCATCTGTAAAATTATTTTAACAACCAAACCAATCACTGATCGCATATTAGCGTACTATTATCACACTAGGCAAGTGGCTTGATAAATTATGCTGTACTGCTAAAAAATGAAATGTAGCAGTTTGTCGTCTTAATCACCTCTTTTGAAATTCTCGACACGAAATGTTGTGGAGCATTTTTTTTATACAACTTAGAATGGCAATCAAGCTGACGGCCCACCTGATGTGAAGTGGTAACCGTCGCCTATTGACATGAGCAGTACCATGGACATAACAAAGTATACTGTTTCGCCCATGATACGCTACATGTGTTGCCATTCCTAAGGACTCAGGTGTTATTCCTCTATACCCAGTAAATTCACGCCATATCCCACCCTTCAATGCCATGCAAACACAACTACTTCACGGTTGAAACACGAATGAGACAGAGGTTCACAAGCAATCGACTTTTGTACAAAGTCTCCCTCTGGTCATCTATACTCTTTGATTATGGGTCCGCAAATATATCGTTACTTATATTTTATGATGTTTGTAATGTAAGTATATAATTAATTCTATCCAGAATGCCAGAAACATCTTACTCATTCGCTTAATAGTAGGTATCTCGAACCAATTGAAGCAACTGACGGATTTTAGGATTAAATTAAATGAATATACAATAAATAAATATATACCATCATCGTTGACCTCTATTTCAAGCAAGTACTGTGCATTGGAGCGCCATGCTGTTGTCTCTCTCAAAAATTTCAACGTTCTCGATACTTCTTCAGATACTTTCTCTGTATTGGTCGTGCTTGATCCTGTACAAGAAAAATAAACGGAAAAAAGTTATTAAAAAAAATGTAACATACTGCAATCAATTAAAAAAAATCCAGACAAATTATCATACTGAAATCTAGGCACCATGGTCTCTGACCTTAGCCTGTTCCATAACGGAACAAACGTACTATGTAAAATAATATGTAATTAATTACATTTTCCGATATTGTCTTTTGTATAAAATTATAAAACAAGAATAATAATTTACTTTCAAGACGAGGCACGTCTTTGGTATATATATATATGGTGATCTTCATAGTGAGACTTTGTCCATTCATTAATCTGTCACAGCACAGCACTATATTTCAACAACTACTAATAAAATAAATAAAATCTAAAATTTACTATAGATTTAAACATTTTTTTCTCTAACCTTAGTTAATTATAAAAAAATATTTTAGGTTAATCTTAGGTTTACACTTTACATATCTATTTCTTGTATAATTTATATTTCCTTATTGAAAAGTCGTCAATTTTAATGTGATGTACAAAAGCTATAATTTAAATATTTTTAAAATACTTAAAACAAAATTAATTACATTCATTTCAAAATACTGACCTTCCTGTGGTCCCAGAGTGGCCCTTCTTGCCTGTATGATCCTAGTCAAATATCGCAATGATGAGAGCTTCTGTCGATCTTGAAGCTCCCATTCACCAGCACTATCCTTTGAATGCTGTTTTTAAACAATATACATTATTTTTTATTAGATTTCATAACATTAAATAACAATAAAATTACAATTTAAGACATTCATTATGAATCCTTTATACATTAATTCATGTTAAGAAACAGCTAATATATCCGAAATTTATTAAGTTGATGAAAATAAAAGAATATATTTTTTTATCAATTTTATCGCTGTAAAGACGTTTTTAAAGTATCAAAGTGAAACATGAACTGCTTCTTAGTTAAATACTTACTAATATATTTTTAAGTAAACTCACCAATTTTTGTATGTCTTTCTGAACTAATTCCAGTGTTGCGTCCAATTCCTCTGCATCACCACAACTTCTTATCACTAACAGAAACAATTCAGAAGACAATGTTGAGTCGCGAACACACTAAGACAATTATTAAAAATATACATTATTTTTAAATATTTTCTATTTAAAATTGGTAATAAGCAATTACTAATGCTAATTATGCTTTCTTAACTTCTGAAGTTTAAAACCCAAAATGTATGTATCTAAACTACCTAGATTATTTAATATTGACCGATTAAGTCATTTACATTTCATCATATAACTTTCATTCGCTTATATGATGAAATGTACATAGTATTACGGTGCTTGAAAAATTCACAGTAAATTTATAAAAAAAATTCTATTGTACTTACACTTTTTATTATTGCTCTGTTTATATTGTCAGGGTCACTAAGAAGATTCATTATTGGACGAAGGACAATAGATGATAATAGATCGATAAGGATCAACTTCAATGCATGACACTTCCATGTGGCTTCAGGAGTAATTAAATAAAGTACAGCTTCAGAAACCTCGTTGAGTAAAGCTGGAATTTAATTAATTTATATTACTATACAACCGTAACCATTGCCGTGTGGTTCCAGCATAGATTGGTCCACCACTTACTTTCCTATGGTTGTCGTAAGAAGCGACTAAGGAAATTTAATGATAATTTTCATATTTATTAAAAAGTAAAATAAAAACCAGATTTAATTTTAAACTTCAATAAACATTTTTCGGATATACCTGAGTCATAACATTTTAGTCCTCGGGAATGGCAACATGTAAAGGGACCATAGACATTGTTGCAATGTATTTTGCGATATCCGTGGTCCTGTTCTTATCTATAGGCAGTGGTTACCACTTTACATCAGGTGGGTTTGTCAGCTTATTTCTAAGTATCATAAATAAAAATAAACATTGATGTCTCACTGGAACTAGCATCAATACTAATACCATACCATATAAGCCATTAATTGTCCACGGCTGAACATAGACCTACGCCATAATTGGGGAGGGGGCTTGACAGACGGATTGGTAACCGCAGTTAGCCCTTTGGTGATATTTAAACAAGGACATTGCTGCCTGTCCCTCGATCACAGGTTCTCTTAGTTGCCTCTTACGACACTCGCGGGAAAGGAAGACAGCAACACCCGCTTTCATAAATTTAACAACTCACCATATTCTCTTTCGGAATCAATACAAAACGAGTCACGACAAATTTGTTTATTTTCCATTGAACATTCTAAATCAAAAAACAAATCTGTTAACGATTTCCCATCTATATTTTCGGCACTGTCGTAAAACTTTGATTTGCCGAATGTTTGTCCATCTGCAAATAAGGGAATTACTTGGATAAACATATGATTACTAAATGCAAATAATATAGCAGATAGTAAAATAAAACTTTATTACCAAGACCCCAAGGTAAATCAGTGTCACTTTTATTTCTTCTGTGAGTCTTTTTCTCCTCTTTCTTTGGGCTGGGCCTCATGTTACCATTTGTAACATCTTTTGAATTCTGTAACTGTATGTGTTTTAACCTAACTCTCGATTGTTTGAATAGTTTCAAATGTGTTGTGAACTCTTCTGGAAACCTTGTAGAAAGGATGTCAGTCCATTCCACACATTTTATTCTGTAATATAATTTAAAATAATTTAGACGAAAAACAATAAAACAAATAATTGCCTACAGTAGGATGTAAATAAATCAATTAATACATATGTATAATAAAATCGTAACTGATCGTTGTCTGTACATGGGAGATATATAAAAAAAACTATTATAAGGGGACTTTATTAACGTAATAGAATCCAAAACAATAATTTTTAGAATTTTTGTCTGTCTACGTTTGTGCATACTAATGTCAGTAACGTCTTAACCGATTTGAATGTAGTTTTCACTAATGCATTGCGGTTTGCTCCACTTAACATTTAATGTTTGTTTTATTTCAATCAATTCATAAATAAAAAAGTTATATCAATCTAAAAAATCATATATGCTATAAAATAATTGAACAGTTAAATTGGCTGAAACTTTATGAATGTATTACGTATGTAATTATCACTTTAGTATTTAATACAATATAAGACCGGATTCATGAAGGGTTCCTTCATTTAAGTTCATGAAAAGGAATGATATATGGGAACTACATAGTTAGAAGCGGGCAAAGCCGCGGGTTAGTGTATAATAAATATTAAATATATATAAAATATATTTGGCTAAAAATTACTTAATTACTCAACTTAAGAATTTGCTCATTTAGAGGTGAAACACGTGTTGCAAAATCTGTATGAAGAAAATGGTAGTCGGAGATTGAAGGCTGTGGAACGTCTGGTAGTAATAGAGGTGATCAATTTTTGACTGTTAGCAGTCACATATATACAAATGATAACAGAATTAAACAAAATAATTCTAAATATATAACCAGTGTAGTGGAGTTCTGCAAGATGACATCCAGTTCAGCAACATAAATAATAATTTTGAAGCTACATAAAATAAACTTAGTTCTCTGTCTATACCGATGACCTTTATCTTACCTGTTTGCTAAATTGGCCCCTGTAGCCACCACCAATTGATTGATGGCGTGTGTTGTAAACTCCACATCATCAGTCAATATTTCATACCATGGAGTCACATAGTCATTAACTATTATTGCTATTATTTCATTTATGAAAGTATCCACAATCTCACTGCCAGTAATTCTGCTATCAAATTTTGGTAAATTCGTATCCTTATCAAATAATTCTATTACCTAGAAATAATACAACATACTATATATTCTTTATACCCCTAGTTGTAAAAGACAACAATATAAGACTTTGTTTCATGAAGATGGATTTTAGACTTTTAAGTTGAGACTGCAATGTGTTGGTACAGACAAACTGATATTACATTAGTATAGTATTATCATTTGGCAATAGCATACTAAATCCAAGATATGCTCATGTCATTGCTAATTTAAGCTTGATATTTTAAATTTTGCAATAGGGTTTGTCAAAAAAAATATGGTATATTTTTTTATACATAAATATAAAAAGCCTTGTAATATTCCATAATATATTCATATTTGTTGATACAAACAGGTAATCTGTAGATTTTTTTTGTTGTTCCAATTAAGAATTCATCAATAATAATAATAAAGATTTATTGCACATAAAAATATACAGTCATGGGCTTACAAAAATTTCAAAGTGAATTATATGTGTATAAAATGTAGCATTATGCCCAGCACATTAGTGTCTAAACTAGGCCTAGCCTGTATCTTAGACACCAATGCCTTCAATTAGATACATATTTTCATGCAGTGTGTCAATGTGTAGCCATGATGATTATTTCTGATTAATGTAAACATGACATATTTTTCTATGTTTTTATCATATCATAATAATGAATATTTTTATATTATTATCAATTACAAATGTCCAATGATTATTTTAATAAAAAGTAAATAAAAATATAGATATAGGCATAAGAGAAGGATATCACCTCAGTTTTAAAGAATGGCAACACATCAGGGGTATGATATGAAACAATGTATTTTGTTATGTTAATGCATCAAGTAGGTGTACTAATGGTGTGGGAAACCCTTTCTTTACTCTTTCACTTATTTGCATCTGATCAAATGTAATGCACTCTTCTCTGAACTTTCCTTATAAAATTAGCACCAAGTATCTTGCACAATTATATCAACTTACAATGTGAACATGTAATGTCAATGGTACTGTTTCTGTCTAGCAATGACAATAGCGATGATTGTTACTTCCACTATGTCATTACCTTTTCTGCCATTACTAATTATTTAAGAAAAAATATTAAAACATACTTTACCTTAGAGAGTTTAATATTATAGTCTGTTTGTTGTAATGGATCATCAAGATCATTCAAATTAACTAATATTTTCTTACTATCATAGTTGTAATATAACACTGTGATGATACTAAAACACAAAAATAAAATCAACTTAGTTAATTTTAAACTTTCACATTGCTTACAGATATTATAATTTCCCATTTGACCTTCCTATTTACCTGTAATTGCATTATGTTAAATCCAGATTGGGAATTTAAAAATTCAATTTATGTAATGTAAGATATCCATTCCTGAATCAATTCTTATTTACATGTATTCTAATTGGGGTTAACCATGCTTATTTACCACCCAATCTAAAATAGATGTATAATAAATATAACTGACAAAGATAAGGGTATCCACCGCCAATAAATTTTACCTGCCTTAAACTTATTATTGTTATGATCCAGGAATTAAAAATTCGAAACGAATAAATTTTGTTGGAAATACTCATAATATGTATTTAATTTTATTTCTGGAAATTTCAGATAAACCATTAAATCCAAAATTATCAATCAGTTACATTACACTGATATTAATCTTGAATATTAACATGATAATCGAGGAAGTGTACTAATTAATTACCTAATTTATACTGACAATGAACTTTAAAGTATGATTACTTAATTTTTATTAACAATAAAATAGTCGATTTATTATTAAAAATAACTTACCCAACAACGAAAAATACCAAAAAGGAGAGGAATGTTATATACCATCCAAAGCCAAACAAACTAATTATAATTACAGAAACTAAGCCGAACCATCCGGCAATCCGGAAAGCCAATTGCATAGCGAACGAGTTTTTGATACAATACAATAAATCTACGAATATAAATATTTTACAAAATTAGAAAAATTATAAAGAAAATCAACAAAGTGAAAACAACAAAGCAAACATCGACTTTAACTGTCATTCAAATGTCAGTTCATTTCTGACATTGACAGTGATAATTTTGACAGTTGTTTAATACAGCATTTTATTATTATTAGTCATGGCAAACGAGCATGCGGCTCGCCTGATGGTAAGTGACTACCGCCGCCCATAATCACCCTAGAGTAATTACAGGTGTGTTGCCGGCTTAAGATCGTTTGAAATTCAATTAATCAATAAAAAGGACAAAATTTAAAACAGAACAGGACAAAATTTAAAATATTATATAACGACTTTCGTAGGCATATACATCTTGAAGTACATATATAGGTATGCGTCTTTTTATGGAGCCCTATGAATACACTAATGGTGTAGTACAGTCACAGATAATACTATACTACAAAGATTTCGCTAGACTAGTAGTAGAGTCACTGATAATATATTAATAGTGCAGTGGTGAGCACGTTGTGAAGTTCCGGGTTCGAATCCTGAGCAGACCAATTTAGGAAAAGACCAATATGTTCCAGGTTTTCCCTTCAGATGTTCGCTGCCTATTTCTTTACCTTGGTTATATTCGTTGTGTCTAGTTCTTTTTAACAGATCCTGTTGACTTGATGCGACTGTGTGATAAAAAAATATAACAAGATAGACATAATCATTAATAATTGACTGAGGGGTTTAAACTAAAAAAAATAATAACTACAAAGAAATATGCATAACAGCTTTTTGGTTTATTGAAATACAAGGATACAACACAATCACAAGAATAAATTTTTACAGTAGGTGTAATTAAAATAGTCTTGAGACTACCTAATAATACTAGTAATATTATTTTATTGTCAAACATGTCAAAAAACAATTTGATCATGATGGTAGATTTATTCGATTTTATTCTTATACTTCTTACTGTTTCTAAGGGTACACGTCCAAGTAAATGCATCTGCATGTATATCAACGTTATGTTAGCTGTCAATGTTTTAGGTTCAATGACCAGATGGAAATATTGGTACTTTGCGACAGAATTAAAATATTAAACATTCTAAATACCTAACTGAAATTGAATATACGCATATAATATCTGATACATGATGCGTTAATAAATAATACTTCAATGACATTATTAGGTGCAATCAATACAAATCCCATAATCATTCCGATTCAATTTTGTTAGCCCTATATACTCGTAAGAGCCCCATATTTGTTCGATTTTGTCAATCGATGTTTAAAGATCTACTTAATTATTTATGATATTTATCATTCAATAATGATCATGCTATGCTTGATGATAGATGTGTTTTGATTGTATATTAGGGCATATCTTAATGCTTGGATACTTACTAATGTTTTGTATTTTTACTAGATCTTTGAATGATTCTTTGAGAAAATTCTAATATACAGGTATAATAATTAACTACATTATTAAAAAAGTATTTATAGAGAGTGCGTCAACAATTTATTTCGTCTATGTAACTTCAAAAGTGCATGAAAATACAATTTTTAATCTCAATTCCGTTGTCAGATTATTATCGTCATACACTTAACAAGTTGTTTATCATTATCATATTCGATAAAATAATCTTTCCACATTAACAAACTGTTATTGTGATCTCTTAGGCCCTACGAAAACAATCCTTAGCGTACTTTTTGTCTAACAAAATAGAGCATATAAAATTTCATTGGTAAACATACATTAATCCTGGCAAGTTCCTGACAGTACAAATACGAATATTTATTCACCGCGGACAAAAGTCCGATCCTTCAACTCAGTAGCCGTTATATATTATTATTATTCATGGTTCATGGTGGGGTGGATAATAATTATAATATTATAAATATAGAAACACTTCGAGTTTACGTGACTAGCGTTGGTAAATTTATAGCATAAAAATATTAAACCAACCATTTTTTTATGCAGAATTCACTCCAGTATAACCTATTACCACATATTTATTACTTTATTATCACAAGTCGTGAACGATCTGATATTTCTGAAAAGTAGAAAGAAGTAACGGCTTAAGTATATACTAAACAAGTTGTTTTAAAAAAAACGGCATCTTAATAATAGAATACCCAGGAAAATAGAGGAAGGCGGAACTGAAGGAGGGTACGGCAGTAAGAGGAGCGTATGACCCAGAGAATATAATTGACAACTATATAACGTATTCAAGAGGACATGGGATCTCATTTCACCTTACTATAAAATATCTAAATCGTTATACAATAGGGTATAATTGTTTATCTAATAAATAGTATAAAGAAGCGATTATTGCTTCAAAATTACATGAGAACCATTTAATAATTCGCTCAGATCTATCTATTTTTTGCAATTAATGACACGGTTCCTGTGCGCACAGAAAATAGAGGCCCGTTACACGAACCTTCAAGATCTATAGAAGAATGTCATAATGACACACTTACTTTTCTCGTAAAAAATAAATGCGCAAAGGAAACACGCCGAAATAATTAACGTAAAGTTACTCAGTATATTTTAATCAGCGGCCAATAAATATAATTTATTTCTATTGTTCTTCATACTCAACTACAACAATAGCCTCCTTTCTCAGTCCAATAGAAATAAAATATTAACAAACATGAGGCCCGATTAATTATACCATTGTTATCAATATCTCTTATACATTTAGGTACGGTTTCAAGTACGATACTTTATAAATGATAATAATAATACTATGAATAATTGGTCTACTTAAAGAAAAATACATTGGCTAAGCCCTTGACTTACTTAAACATTGCATCAATAGAAAGTACATATTGTGATCGAAAAACTAGTATAAAATAATTATTTATAAGTATAAATATTGTGCTTTATATTCTATTTTTATATTATAATATTACGACATAAAATAAAATTTTAAGTAATAAATATAAATAAATGAGCGACCATACAATATCAAAGTACAATAGAAAATATATTTTTTAAAAGACGGTGGTAAAAATTGCGTTATAAGTTGTATCATAATCCAATCTATAAGTATGCCTTAAATAGTACGCGCCAAAAAAATATTAATCCCTTATTCTTAAAAACATCAAACCTGTCATAAACCTGTTTTAGCTATTGAACTGTTGTGTCACTTTCTTTTGTGCTCCTAAATTCCCAATTTGAAAGAAAGTAACAAAACAGTGTAACAGTTAAAATAGATTTGTAGGTTTTAGTTTTTATTAAAAAGGGGGTATGTTTATAAAAAAAATGTTCTTCATATATAGATTATGTTAGTTTGCAGCAAACAACTTGAACGTAAGCATAGACAATACAACTAGCGCGAAAAATACTTTTATACGTAAAATTTTTAATGCGTAAGTAGCGTGACAGAAACATTGTTTTCAAATTGTCGATATCTATAAACATATTAATCAACAAAATTTTATCTCCAAATACGTCTATTTTCTTGGCGAATGACCTCTGATAAATAACTAGATTATCACAAAATACTGTAATTCTAAATAATAAATAGTATAAATATATATACTTCGATATTTTAATGAATCCGAAAAATTTTAAATATATCAGTTATTGGCAAAATAATAATAATATTTTTGAAAAATATTACTATGTAACATTTAATACCATTCAATACATTCAAATAAAATATTGCATTTTGTAAATTTGAATTATATGTAAATATTTTACAATGAGCAAATAAAAAAAATAATAACTTCTCTTATTTATACTAGTGTTAAGTGTGTGTGTTTTTCATGATTGTCGGTCGTGGAGTGCTAAGACCGACGGTGACCTATAAGTTATATACTTCATTACAATCTCAGCAATACACTGTCCTCAGTTTATTACTCACTATACAATAAATTAAAGTTAATTTATGACTAATCAACTATACATTATGTTACAACATACTCAACAAGAATATCAACAATGGACTTGGTAATTATTACTAAATAAATACATGTACAGTACAGTTATTGTATAATATAGCTAGTTACATAAGCTTAGTAACATTTGAGAATCAGATAACATGGGGACATTCAGTTTAACACCATTGAAGCAGACCTCGAACCGACTGTAAAATCCTTATACTGGGAGAATACACAAAGCTGAAAATATAAACAATACATTGCATTAGTTAAGTACACTCGTGGAAATGTAAATAAAATGAAAAATGAATATGAAATTAGTTCGCGCTGGTAATGCCGCAGTAAACATGTGTAAAAAACATACTACTCCAAAACGCCTATCCTTAATACACCTGCCAGTAGATTGATATCTTTATGCAATAGTTTGTCGCCGCATGTCAAGATAAGAGCCAACACGTTAATGAATTTATTCAAACTTAAACATAAAAGTATAGGTCAAGTATAAGAGAACGTCGAGATCGTCTCATAGAGATAAATTTCTGCACCATTGTTATAAAGCGTGTAAAAGCGCAGATTAATATCTGCTAATGAGAGAGAGGGAGAGAGTGAAAGGAGCGTTCAAATATTACGTAACGCAATTTAAAGGAGGGGTGGAGTCTTGTTCTTCATTCTTTCTTTTATTTAAACAAAAAATTAGGGAACTTGAAATCTCCCAATTTGGCAACCTTTTTTGTTTATATTATATGTATATTAATTTATTAATAAAAAGTTACGGCGCATTACATGGAGGGAAGGGAGAGGCAAAAATCATCAAAAATTGCGTTACCTTAGCTTAGTTACTTGATAATTTTCTGATGATATTCTCAATAAATATGCTTAGAAAAATATCACATGCTCAATCTATGTATCTATATATTAGATTTTTACAAAATATATGGTATTGTATACAAATTTTGTATAATAATATATGATATAAGAATTAAAAATAAATAGTTTCAACCATAATCACTTGAAAATAAATTATTATTATTATATACATATTGAATTTCAATTCAATCATTAAATTGATAAATTTAAATAAAAAAATAATGGTTACCTTATCTTTAAGCTGCTGGCACATATGAAGAGAAGCAGTTAACATCAACAGCACATCACTCAACCAGGGCACGGCACAGTCTGCCTGACATGAATCAATCCTCATGGTTCCATGCACTGAACTTAATTGGTATGCAACAAATATCAACTTATGAGACTGTATGTAGAATGATATAGCCAAGTCTTCAGGAAGATTTGGTGATAGTGCTTTCTGAAAGAATAATTTTTACATGTACACAGATTCTTAAAATTCTATAGATGTAGTAGTACAGAGTGTCAGCCTGCCACACTAGACAAGTAGCAAAAAATTTAATTCCTTTTTTTATGAGATTTAGGACAGTATACAAAAAAATAATAATAAAAAGTGGTAACTATCATCTATAGATATATTATTACATACATGACAAAAAAACACATACTACTACAAAATAATTTCATCTTTCATGTAAATTACTTCAGATATTTTGTTATAAAAATATAAAGACAGACTTACTTCTACTTGCATTTTATATTAAATGTATGTATGATTTTGTTCAAATGGTTGGTGGGGAAATTAATTTATTTATTACAAAATAATGTCACCATTTGCTCATCATCGTCATCTCATGTTTCATACAACCAATTTTCTTGAAATATAGTTTAACTTTAACTTCATTAATTAATTTATCATGAAAAAACAAACAGACAGATACTAATTCTAAAAATGTTGTGAGCACAACTAGTATATTACCTAGTGTACAAAAATATACAATAATGTCTTGGATAAATTTAAAATATAATCCTACCATATTTCTACTTTTCATAAGCTCATCAATTGCTTTTTTCTTAGGCAGTAGTAAGGCAGTACGGGCTCTTTGTAGTGATCCAAGTAAACACTGTATTATATGTAGCACTTCCTCTGATGATCTGAAATAATTAGAATCATAAATAAATTATAAAAATGATAATAAAATTGTTTTCCACAAAAAGAAACTGGCTACTATTATAGTAAAACCAGTTATTTTGATTTAAAAACTATACTACTTTTTTTTACTAATCTAATCTGTACACATACCCTTTTAGATAAAAAAAAAAAACTAAATCAGATTACAACTGACAGTTATGAGGCAACAAACATAAAATAATACAACCAATTGAGTCCTACATTTTGAAGTGGGTTAAAACTAGATATCAAATAAGTTATTGTTAAACTTTTTAATTTAATTAAAAGTACAACAGTAATTTCCAAAAATTAATAAATAGACCTAGCTATATTAACATAATGAAACAGTAATTCAAACTAACAAAAGGTGATGCTAATAAGTAACTCTTAACAGTTCTTTTATAGAAGCAGAGCTAAAATTATTACCTGAATACATAATGTTTATCAACATTATCAATATAACCTAAAGCTTGTTGTAAATGATTAGCAGCATCCTGAATTTGTTGTAACTTCCATGGTCCATCCTGATTAATGGATGTACGACATATTGTATGCATTTGTCGGAGAACTTTAAAACTTATGTCCTGGTAACATAAAAAATATTTGTTTACATAAAACAAGTATGTCAACAGATAAGAGCTTGTATGATACATTAAACTATGATATGACTTGATCAAAAATATTCACTTACATATGTAAACAGTTATTTTTAAATACTAAATAATGTGGTAAATGCTGTAATTAATTAAATAATTAAATGTAAACTTACTGCATGAGTAATGCTATCTCCAGTGAGTGTAACAATACATTTTAATTGTTCAGGCTGTGATGTCAAAATGAATTTGTCTTGCTTCTGACCTTCATTGCCATACAAAGGCACAGGAAATCTGTGAGCGCATTCCTAAAACAGAATATAATTAAAATTAGACATATAACTGTTAAAAATAGGTTTATTTTCACACCACTATAAATTACTGGCTGGTTGTTATTTAAAAAGATATAGTTCTAAAACTGACTTGACACTCATTTAGAATAATAGTTGATTTCTGTGTTTGCTCTTGTATTAAATTTTATCATACTGTTCTATTGTGTTTATCCTGTTCCCTTCCACAACGAAAATATTAGCTAATATTTCAATTTGAACACCAATAATAATAGTATACAGAAGTAATGCCATGGATAATTTAACAATGGCACTTACGACTAAAACCGAATGGAGCTGATGTAACACAGCGTGAACCTCTTCACGAAGGACCCATTCGAATTCTTCCTTCTGAAAACAATTGGACAAATGTAAAAGGAAAATAGCTGAAATAATAGCCGTAAAATCATTCATTGATTAACACAGAAGGCTCGACGATATCTATAATTTACCAAATTAGCGGCCTCTTCCTTTTCGTTGTCACTCATTTCAATGATTTTAAAACTGGTTTTACTAACAACTGTATCCCATTAGGAGATATTACACCCTAGAAATGATATATACGGTTGGGCGACTTTCCGATTTTTAGTAAAATTGAAATAAAAGGAATGAAATTTTCTGTAACTACAATAAATTGGAACTGACAGACTGTGACAAAGAATATATAATCACTCCGTTTTAGATGTGACACAAAATTGACATAACAAAGCTGACGATTATAACCCTAATGACAGTTAAAGTATCACTGACAGTAACACTGACAACACGAATTCTTCAAAATAAATAGATAGGTCTTTTTTAACGGGTAATAATCTCAGATTATACTAAATCTATGATAATAATTAAATGGTAAATATTACGCTGGCAGGGCACCAGTAAAGGATGACAAGTGACAATAAAAGCATGTTAGCTAACCCATCCTAATAATTTTAATCAAAGTACTAACCACAATGGTCAGGCGATAAATAAGTAGCTAGTAATAAAGATCTGACAGCCCCATTGTGGGGAAAAAAAGGATTATTAGTAATAGGAATTCGTTATCCCATTGCTAACAATATATTATATCAGCTCAACTTCCTGGTTCGGTTTCCCTTGGAAACCACTGTACTCAGTTCTATATGAATTCGTCACAATCACCTCACTGGCACCCCGCTAGCGTATACCATTAGTGTAAGCGGGGGTTACTATTTCATAGCACTCCATTTAAAAAAAACTGCTCCATTGCTAGCAATATATCCTGTCAGATCAACTTCTACGCGGCCTGGAAATCATAAGATTCTTTATATACAAATTCAAAAACATTTTCATCTAAAAGGAACGTGAACTTATGTACAGCTTATTTTATGCGTGGATCAGCGTATAAGTTCAACTCTCTTTTGACTTTTTTAATTTTTTTTATTTAATGATTAATATTAAAACCTAAAATGAAATTCTGACTTATAAATTGATTTATGACATTTTTATGATTAGGTACTTTAACGTGCTTTAAGTGACTATTCAAAGGCACAAATTTAATGCTCTTAATATGATTGAAAAGCTTCGGATTTTTTATGGAAAGCTAGAAAAAATTTGCAGAGAGGCCGAAATTATTGCAGGGTAAGTATGTCAACAGATACAAAGGAACTATTTCGCCAATGAATTACTTCATTATTTACTGGTACTACTGTTACGCTTTAAGTGAATTCAATAAAAGTAATTTAATATTTTATTACACAAAATTCTCTGACATACGACTTCAAACATCACATTTGTATAATGATGAGTGCAGATGATGCAATGTAACATGAAAATTTTTGTATGAAATAAAAAATACATTGGAAGAATTTGACGTCTATGTTGCTGCAATGTATCATGAAAAAATTTCATAATCTAGATGCCTTACGTTAAGGAACTACACACCTCACGCGCACATAGTAAGAAATAAGTGTTCTCTGTTACGAACCTTACTATTCACACTCGAAGCGATATATGTTTTTTTTTAATTTTTTTGACGAACACAAAAAGGGCACAGTATACTTGGATTAGTGTTAAAACGAACATGAAATGATACAAGTTGACTATGCGTGGAGTGAAGACCATTGATTACGACTGGTTATGTTCGCGGTCAATTGCGCCATATAAATAATGCAAAACTCTAGTTTGCTACTACTGCTACAACTAAACTAGATTCTGTGCTAAATATATTATACTTATTGTTAAATTTTGACATTATTGACACAATTTTATACAATTGTATGCATAGGCATAGAATAACCTACCCATGAATTTAAAATTTTATGAATAATCGAGTACCTATTAATGCGCGTTTGAAATGAGAAGTAAATCAATATTAATTTGTAATTAATGTCACTTTCAGAAAATCGGGTCGTCATATGAAGTTTCCATATACAATGTCAGCAAAGATTGTCCAATTTCCAATTTTTCATTATTTAAAATATAGTAATGTTTGGATGTTTTACCCAGGAGGAATAATAATTGGTTTCTATCTCATAAGTAAAATTCACAATGTGGTTAACTCCGAGGAAAATAAAAGATCTTGGGCTGAGAGTCAGAGAAAAATAGCGGAAAAAGAACATCGTCATTAAAAAAAACAATTTTAAATTTTAAACAGTCAAAATTAAATACCATATTTTATATTTTGTTTGCTTTAACACGTTTTTATTTATTTTTTTACCTTTTTATACTATAATGCCAAACCTGTTATTTTAATATCAGTGTGTATATTTTTATAATAGCATCCGCTTATTATCTCATTCAATATCATTAGAAAGGCGGTGTCGTGTTACAACTGTGTCAGTTGTAAACCTTATTTTTTTCTGAAAGGATATACTTACATTGGTTCCATAGAAATTTTATTAAAATTGGTTCAGTAGTTTAATTTCCAATCGACTTCAAAAAAAGGAGGATGTTGAGTACATTTTGTTGGTATCGGTACATTCACAAAGTGTAACTTATACGCAAATTGTTATGCATTACTGGATTTATCTTACTAACAAAAACTAGCTGAGAATAAAGAATATCCACATCTTTGAAAACTAGCCTGTGCTAGAGAGATGGGATGTCGTCACGATTGAGACTATGCTACATTCATTAGTGAAATCAAGACTCAATAAAGTATAAATTCATTTTTATTAAATATGGTTTTTTTTTTTTTAGTACGTTTGTTCCGTTTGGAACAGGCTAAGGTCGGAGACCATGCTGCCTAGTCTTCAAAAAGATAATTTGTCTGGAATTTATTAAATATGGTGTTTAGCTGTCAGACGAAAGACAACTGCACAGAGTATTTTTTATATATTGAATTGTAGAATTCAAATCTATGCCATGAAATTAGTAAAAAGGACAAAGCTAAAAACAAGGAACTAAGAACAAGGAATTACATAGAAGGAATGATAAAACAAAAACTGTAAGTCATATGATTGCCTCCTTTCTTTTTATGCAAATATTATTAATAAAAAGAAGATGAAAGATACAGCATCAGTTCCTATTTTTGTCAATTAATAGCAGGCTAGAAAATGCTATACGGCCGTATAACCCTATCAAATTAAAATTGCAACTTGATTGCATACTTTCTATATAAACTCTGTAGAATATATAATCTAGTCTAAAATTTGTTATTGACAAATAATTGACATATCAATATGACCAAAAATTTTACGTACACATTTTTTATACACTAGCCTGCTATGAAATGAGAAAAATAGCATCGGATAGTTTATCTTTCGTCCTCTTTTTACTAATCATATTTGCATAAAAAGAAAGGAGACAACTATATGACTTACAGTTTTTATTTTAACATTCGTTCTATGTGATTTCTTGATCTTGGGCAAAAGTTAAAAGAAATCTTGTTTGCTCTGTGTCTGTTTTGTACATTTATGTACCTACCAATTTTTTGTCATTGTGGTGAAATTGTGAACTTACAATAATTGAAAATATTGCTTAGATTATCAAAAATATTTATTTAAAAATATGGTCAGTTTGACAGTTGGAAAATTTGTTCAATATTGCTCGTAAGAAGTTGTTTTATACCAACATGTGGGTTAAACCTCAAGAAGTTTTTCTGAAAACTGCATTGTGGTAAAATATATTTCTGATTATATTTACTACGCCGCATTATGTTGTGACAAATGTTATAAGTGTATGTTTATTAACAGGGACACTGATGAAACAACGCTATATTTCGTACTACAAAGAAGAAAAGGTCATGGAAAGTCTCGCGGACTCTCTTCTTTACTAGTGGGCACTTTAGACAGTGTTCGCGACACAAAACCAGCCCCATACAGGATTCTACATCAGACACCTAATTCTGAAATATATTATGGCTAGTATTATTTTTGGTTTTGTCCCAATACTTCTTTAAACCGGTTGATTGACACACATGATCGTTGTCGTCTTTCTACCCTTTATCATAATTATAAATTTTTTAAGTTGGCGTAATGTTTTTATCCACATTACCCAAGGTTTTGGCTTTTAGTTTTACAGCCGGCCGCCTGTCTGACGTCATCTCTCCTTGGAAATTACGATCATAATTACACACAACTTGATACTGACTACACAAGCTACTGAATTAGCTGAAAGGAATTTATTTTTAATTATATCTTTATCATAATTATAAAAATTTTGGGTTTGGTGTAATATTTTTATTCATGTCAGTCAAGATTTTGGCTTTTTACAATTGACTACTTGTCTGATTTTGTCCTGTCTTGTTGAATTATGATCATAATTATTATTATATTTCATACTAACTACACAAACCCAATTGGCTGAAGGGAATTTATTTTTAGTTATAAAAATATATTTTTTTATACCACTAAGGTGGCAAACAAGCATAGTTCCCACCAGGTAAGTATAACTATATTATTGTATTTATCATAATATATTTAGCAGTGGATTTAAAATTTATAAAGGAATTAGTGTACTTAAAAAATAATTTAGCTCAAATCATACCAATAATCATTTGCTTTTTATTTAAAGGAATGTATTTATTTATTCCATATTACACATTATAATTAGAATTTATTAACTATAAATTGAAGAAATATATAAGCTCTATTCTGTTTAAATTTAAAATCAAGTATCCTTTTTAATATAATTAATATAAAATAATATAAATAGGACAGTGTGTTTTGTTTGTTTGTTATCTCATAGTGTATTAATGGCTTAAATATGTAACATTTTATATACACTTAGTATTTCTGATAGAGAACAATATAAGCTGCATTTTATCTCATCAATGCATATATCTTAATCATATGGATGATGTCATAAATAAAATTTAGCAAATAAAGTTTTAATTTATTTTTTAATCACTTCAACAGTTATAGCAACAGCACTATCAGAACAAGAAATACGTCAGGACTGGCAATGGCTCGCTGACAATGTGTCTGCAACATTATACTCATTTGACAGAGAGGAGGATATTACAGAGTTTGTATGTTGCAAAATAAATTCAATCATTGCAACAGAACAAGAAAATTTTGTAGAAGGTAAAATTAAACATTTTTTATCTAATCACTAACATCACTATGTAATACACATAATCATATACATCTACATTATTTAAATCAATAGTATTTACTAACTGTCAATATGATTCTTTCCATTATTGTTTGTATTATAGTTATTTTTAGAATTATTTGTATTGAGTGCATTTTTTTTATTTACCATAATTTTCTTCATAAGCTACATCTGCATTCTGTTTTGTGCTGCTTAGTCTAGATAGAACTTTGAGAATTAAAATAAAAACTGTTTATGGAGATAATGATGAAGGAATCTTCTATTTTTTTTTACTAATTTTATCTTAAAAATCAATGATAAAGTACATGTTGATAAAACAGGGACAAAATATAATAATAATACTTTTTTTTGTGTATATGGTCAATCTTTTTTTAATATAGAGTATTTGAAAATCTCACTGATTTACATTGATTTTTCTCTTTTTATTTTGCATAGAGAGAATTATAATTTAATACATACATATAACTTTTAGTGCATATTTATTAGATGCACTATAACATGTACATACAGTGGGATTTAACATGATGCAATTGCAGGTAAATAGTACTTGGGTCTATTCTTATATATATAGAGGTAAAAATTGCATGCAATGATGTCATGTTTATAACTATATATGTATGTATGTAACCCCCCTACCAAGTGAGACAACTACTTGCAAAACCTTCTTCATGGGGAGGCCTACATTCAGTAGTGGACAGTTAACGGCTAATATGATGATATGAATATGTATGTCTGCACAGTATTCTGCTTAGACTCCTTGATAAAGCATGATAATGTCATGTAAATTTGAGGGTCCATTGGAATTAATTGAGTTCTAATATTTTATAAATTTGTTTCTAATGACAGAACTACTAAATAATGTTATTTTTTCTTTGCTTCAGATGAAGACACACTTATGTACAAAAATGTTGACAATGAATTCCATCAAAGATTCGGCATGCCTAGTGATGAAAAACTAGTATGTTATTATTCCTGCAGGTAATAAAAATATTCCTATTTTTCTTTTCATTTAATAAAATTTTATGGAAAATATATTAGCTTCGTAGTTGTTTTTTTTTTATACAAATTGTTAAAAAAAATTAAGAATTGTGTTACATTTTACAGTTACTGGAAAGGAAAAATGCCTCGACAAGGCTGGATATATCTATCAGTACATTACATGTGCTTCTATTCATACATATTTGGACGTAAGACAACCATCAAGATACGTTGGGCTGATGTCACTGAACTAGTCAAAACTAACAGTTTACTATTTCCTGACTCAATAAAAGTGGTCACAAGGGATGGAGAACATTATTTCACATTATTTTTGAGGAAGAATGAAACATTTGCTTTAATGCAACAGTTGGCTAATATCGCTATGAAACAGTAAGTGTTTTATTTATATATTTGGAATAGCAAGCTGACTGCTCACCTGAAAGAAAGTGGAAACTAATGGATTGTCTTAAGACATGAAAATTACTGTTTATCACAGAATGCTCTGTAGTATTTATTGTATATGTGATGATTTGCAAGTTTTTTTTTATACCACTGTGGTGGCAAACAAGCATACGGCCCACCTGATGGTAAGTGGTTACTGTATGAGATGACTATGTACAAAATCCTTTTTCTGTTAAAGTTTGTGCTGTGATATGAACTCTATAAAGAAAAGTTTTTATCTTCATGTTATAAATAAAGAATTGATAGTGTGAATTCTTCAATCACAGGCAGTCACTCACATATAAATTTTTATATTTATTTGAGTGACACCATGGTTACTTGCTATGGGTTAAGTGACTCTCCACCTCATGTACGGTAGGTATAGGTGGGTCAACAAGGAAAATTTCATCTTTGGTAAAATACATATAGTCTGCCTTACACTGTTTCTTAGACTGTAATACTTCCTTGAATATTTATGTTCTTTAAGGTTGATTGATGATAAAACGGGAAGTTACAATATTGACAAAGATCTACTGACAAAACTTAGCAAAAATGTTCCGAAGAAACCATCATTCCTGAAAAGAGATTTGGATGCAAAGAAACAGTCTAATTTATACACGTTACGTTTTCGACTACCACAAACAGAAAAACTGGATGGTACAGAAGTATGTACCTTGTGGACTCCATACAATAAGAGGCATAATTGGGGCAGACTCTATTTGTCCCAGAACTTTATTTGTTTTGACAGCAGGGTAAGTAATGAGAAATGTTTGATAATTTATCCATTATTACTAATACTCATTATGCACTATAATTTTTTTTATGCAATTTAGAATGCCAGTCAAGCTGACGGTCCGCCTGTTGGAAATTGGTAACCGTCGCCTATAGACATGAACAGTACCATACACATAACAGAGTATACTCTGTCGCCCATAATATTCACTTTATCTTCATGTATTGCCATTCCTTAGGACTAAGGTATTATGCCTCTTTATACTGTAATTTCATTGCCACATTCCACCCACAGCCATGCAAACACAATTGTTTTACGGCAGAAACAGGAATGCGACTTCGGTACCCATGTAGACGATAAATAAATATTTTACCTACATACTCAAGCAGATCTCCTATGACAGTCTCTTTCTGATAATTAAAATATGTTTAAAATATTTAATAGGCATTCCCAGATCGTTTACTAATTATACCATGTACCTGTAATAAAACAGATTATAATGTTAATTATAATCATATCATCTTTATATATACTGTGGTTGTTATCTATGTATTACACAATATTGAGAAGACTGCTTTCTCAGGTTTTATTACTTAGGTTATTATCACGTATTTAGTAACTCGTGTCTTTTACGATGTGAAACCGACTGTGAAACTTATTATTATTATGATGTACAATTTGTACGTAGTTATTTAATTAGTTACTAAAAGTATGATTAATTTGCATATTTGTTAATGACAGTGTACTAGCTGTACGCCCATGAAAAAGGATTTCAACCGTTTTATAACGATTGAATATTCTAACAAGTGTACCTACTTGTATTCACTCTTATTCTAATTTCTACTACCTCTCTATATCTCTTATTATGTTACATTAATGTGAGCAGTGCATTAGTGATACTAGTACCTAATATAAAGATCTCTTTCTTTTTTTTAGCAATTAGATTAATAATGTTTGAAATAATAATTTTTAGTACTGAACTTTATTTACACTGCACCTTTTAATACTCATATGGTATTATCATATAGGTAATTTTTTATTATCAATCATTGTTATGACTACTAGTGGAATCATCGTTCGATTTCAAACCTAATTGGGTACAATATTATACCTTTATGCTTCTATTGTTCTCCATTAATTCTAGACGAAGTAGGGATACCAGTAAATAGAATGTAAAATTCTATTGGATCCCTACTTGAATAGTTTTTTTTTATTAATTGTTATGGCCTTATCTACATCATATAGATATGTTTAATAGAAACAAGAATTAGACTTTCTTGGTAGGATGTAATATCTAGGAGATAAAGTTAGATAAATTATAATAATGTTATTGAATAATTACACTGTTATTATTGTAATTTTTTTTTATTAGTCCATTCCAAAAGTTCTTCAAACATATGATTATATCACATTAACAAAATGTGATTTAGAATAGAATATATTAAAATGAAACAAGAACATTCAATAAGTATTTATACTTTTTTTCAAGGATTATGTGTAACTTGCGGTCTATTTTATGAAATTCTTATTGGTTATGGTTTTCTGATAGATGAGAATGAAGGCAGGTCAGTTGGCCTATCATTATGAATTTGCCAAAAATTAACCAGGATAGTTTCCAAGGGAAACTGCATGAAGTCGACCTGCGAGAGTATATTGTTAGCAATGGGTCTGTTAGAATCCATTACTAATAATCCCTTTCTCTCTAATGACCCACATTTTTTTTTAATGGGTGATAATGAAATGGTAACTCCGCCTGCGCTATCAGTATACGTTGGCTGGGCACCAGTGAGAGTTGATAGGTGACGACGAAAGCAGGTCCGGTGGCCTATCGTGGCGAATTCCACTAGAATTAACCACGATAGTTTCCAGGGGGGACCGCGTAGAGATCGACCTGATAGTGTATTGCTAGTAGTTGGGAAATTAGATCCCATTACTAACAATCATTCTCCCCCTCGAATGACTGACATTGCTAGACATGTAGTCTATCATGTCGATTTCCATGCATCCTGGAATCCTTTAGGACTAATTCCTGGTAAATATGTTATAATGGTCAATATGTCTTACTGACCTGATTTCATTTTCATCTAAAATTGCTTACTTTCTTCGTCATCTTAATGGTAATCTTCATTATTAGTAATAAGATCTAACAGGCCCATTACTTGCAATATACCCTAACAGGTCGGCTTCCACGCAGTTCCCCCTGGAAACCATCGCGGTTAATTTTTGATGGCAATAATTGATTACGATAGGCCAAATGACCTGATTTCATCCTCACTTGTCATCCCTCATTGGTACAATGCCAGCGAGGCGAGATTTCCATTCCATTATCATTCATAAAGAAAATTACTAACAATTCCTCCATTACTAACAATTCCTTATAATTCCAGATAAGCAACCTGGTTCGTCTGACGATACCTCTTCGTAATGTTCATCAAGTGGAGCGAGCGGAATCAGGTGGCACGGGAAGCACTGGTGATTCAGGCTGCATTCTAATAACTACTTCACACCATACCAGCTTCCTCTTTGGCAATATATCCGATCGAGAGTTTCTGGTGAACAAAATATCCGAACTGCTAGCAAAGTTACCGAAGTAAGTTTATATTTTTTCGTTTCTAATTTTCTTATAACTTCATTCACTATATAGTGTAAACTGGGGGCCTACCATGAAATGAAATTCCGACGTTTCGGACTCAATTTCGTAACAATAGATGTGACAATAGATGGGTGGGTGTAACAATAGATGAAAACTTGTCATGGGGATTGCATGTGAATAATGTATGCTCTAAGTTAAGATCAAAATAATATAATATATAATATAATATATAATCAAAATTCCGTCAGTTAAGCTTTGCTGTTAACAAGAAAACATTATATGTAATATATATTATACACTTGTAGATGCCATTATATCGTATGGATTGGGTAGTTATGGTTGCACTTTTGACACCCACCTGAACCAAATAAAAGATATGCAGATAAAGTTTATGAAAATTTTAGTTGATAAAGATGTAAACGAAGCAGCTATACAGAGTTATTTAAGATATGTCAATTGTTGTCTGTAAAGGATAAAAATAAACTATTAATTATAATGGAACACTATGACAAGTATAAATATAAAAAAATTGTTACTCATAAAGTTACCACACGTTAAGTTGAAAATAAAGAATATATTGTACCCAAAATTAATAATTATTATGGTAAAAGAACAAAAAAATATTTAGTTCCAAAATATTATAATGTATTACCGAGAAACATAAGATTATTAAATAATGTCACGATAAAATATTTTAAGTCAAAATTTTTTTAAAGAACAGTATTAGATTTAATTTCGATGGTGAATGTTGTGGAAAAAGTGGATGTTATTAGTATGAGCACACATTAGTATATGCATGTGTGTCTGTATGTATATGTATGTGTATATATGCATATCTGTGTATATATGTATAAAGATATTTTTATATAGAATTAGGATATAAGTTTATAATTGTTTAAAAATTGTATGTACCGGTCCAGAAAATAATGCAGTTTACTAAGAATATATATTGTCTATGTAACTGTTTACTTGAAATAAATAAATAAATAAAATAAATTAAACCGAATTGAGGACCTCCTTCTTTTAAAGTCAGTTAAAAATTAATTGTAAGAGAATCAAATTATTGTTGAGGTGATAAAAATGCCATCTAGTCGCGATTTTTATATTGACTTTGCTTTCTTTGTTTAGGTGGTTGATTTACTATTGGTTTACTAAAATTATCGTATCATTTGTTGATATTACTATATGTGTATAATACTATTATATGTGTATATAAGTAATAATATTATTAATATTATGTGTATAAAGTAGATCATATCATATATTTTCTTAATAAGATTTTTCTACCAATTACAATCAGTAAAAGAACAAATTCATTGTAAAATATATTATTTTTTGTTTCATACGTTACATAGACATTTGACACAGATAAATAGAAATACGAAAATATTTTTATGGTTTTATTTTGGTCTCTAATCGTATAAAATTTAAATTAAAGTACAAAGTAGATTACTACAAATCAACCGTCATGGTTAATTCTTGTTAAATTCGTTATGTGTGTATATATATATATATATATATATATATATATATATATATATATATACACATATATATATATATATATATATATATATATATATATATATATATATATATATATATTTGTATGTAAATAATTCAGAGAGATTTGGATCAACATTTATTTAAGAAATGCCTTGTATACAGTCAAATATTGTATTGTTTTTTAACTGTTACTGTTCTTCATTACTAACATGTTTTATCGTCATGTATTTCCTAACAGGCATGTATTTCTGCAGAGTTATGGGAATGTGATGTTAACAGTGTACGCATATCGCTTTGACTGACTTCTCTTCACATCTACCTGCTGAAGCGATATTTCAACTAACAACGAAATGCATCATTGGAGCATGATATACTTAAGGTTCACTTTGTGTTGCCAATTCTCAATCGTATGTTATCTACAGTGATATGTACAGGGAGAAGCCGACTCGTGCGGTGGCGCGGTTGGAGGAGGGCCTCACGTGGACCCCGCAGCCACCCCTCATGACGCTGTTCAAGACCAACCAAACCTCATCCATCAAACAGATACAGCAGAAGAAAGTAATTTAATTTTGAATCACCGTTTATAATCTGCTGAATTGACTGCCGTGTTGTTCAGATATAGAATAGGTCGTTACGTCCTTTCCCGTGGGTCTCATAAGAGGTGACTAAGGGAACTTAATGATTGAGGGATGGACAGCAGCGTCCCTCCTAAATCAACACTAAAGGCTAACTGCTGTTGCCAACCCGCCCGCCAAGCCTGGCATCTATTGGCCAAACTCCCCAATAGTAGGAGGCCTATGTTCAGTGGACAGTTAACAGCTGATATGGTGATGAATTAAAATTTTAATTGATTTGAGATAGAATTAAATGAAATGTAATTCTTGGAGGTTCGTAATGTAATACTTAAAAGGATGGTTATAGATCGTACTTAAAAATCGAAATATCGAGAATATTCTCAAAGTTTATAGAATATGTGGATGTCAGTTACTCAGTTGATCATATAGATATAAAGCTATAAATATTGATTTTATGTTCTTTTTTTGCGGATAAATGCCATAGTAGTGTTAGCAGCATCAAATGGGCGACGTTTTCAGCTTACCGATGACTTATTTAGTTTACACAGCAGTGTCAAGTTTAACGTAATTAGATTAATTTACATCCAAATTCCAATCCAATATCTAAATTATATCCAAATGAATTTTTCATTTAGTTCATATGTAACAGCAATAATTGCATTAATGTTTACTTACAAAGTAGTAATTAAATCAGTTCTACTCTTAATTTATAAACAATTAGAGAAAAATAATGAATTTTTATTTATTTTGTGACAATATCTGTGTCATATCTGTTTTCAGGAAAAAAAATGGGAAGACCACATGTCCGAAGTAGGCAGGGGAGTTAGCATGTACCAGACGACGGAAGGCAGTGAATTGGTAGTGAAAGGCATACCGGAGTCCCTCCGCGGCGAGCTGTGGAGTGTGTTCTCCGGGTCTATACTGCAGAGGGTCCAGAATAAGGGGTTATACGAGAAATTAGTCAATCAAGCTCTAGCATCGAAGAGTTCTGTTAACGATGAGATAGAGAGGGACTTACATAGGTCTCTACCGGAACATCCTGCATTCCAAAATGATGTTGGTTAGTAGAATTATTTAGAAGTAAATATATAAATATACACAAAATGTCCATCCGTTAATGGAAAATAAAAAGCATCTTTATAAAATTGCTTACATTTGTCCTCTTATTGTATCGTGACATTAAAATCGTACAGTGCCGTGCTGCGATTAATTATAAAAGGTCTTATTCCCAGAAGATTCGTATGTATTACTGCTAGGCAGTCACCATTTGACCAGACTTTGATTTCTTACTTCAAACTTTGTTACACAATGTGCTTAAAATATTTATATATAAAAAAATATTTATACTCATTTTGTGTGGGTATACATACATATAAAAAACAAATCATCATTATTAAATAATGATGATTTTTTTATATGTATAAGGGTATTTGAAAATCCCAATGCTAGTGGTTTACATCGGGTTTTCCCCTTTTATTTCGCATATAAAGATTTGTATTTTAACGCATATTAATAATGATGATTATTAAATTTTATCTAAGTAGGCGATATACACCAGATGACGTTTAAAAAGCAGTGTTAATTCTAACTAACACCATTTCTGTCCAAACACAATTCAATAAATAATTATCGTACTTATGTAGTTCTTAATTTTAAAAGTTTCGTAAGTATACATTATATATATTTTAATGTAATAATTACTGGTTTAATTTACATGTATTTTAGTAGAGAAAATTCGACTAGTTTCAGGACCATTTAGGGCCTTTAGTCATAAGCGGCTGTGACTCGAGCGCGAGCCTATTCGTAGTTATTACATTATAATTAGAGATTGTGTACTACAAAGAAAAAAATTGCGATAAAAAAACTAAATTATTGAACCGATTTTGATAAAATTTCTATGGGACCAATCTGAAAGACATTTTAGAACTGACGGAAATATAAGGTCTCTCTCTCTCTTCGTCCACTTCATTACTGAAGGTCGTGTCCTTGAAAGGTGTCTGTTGTCTCTTATGATGTTATTCCAATTCACACGGTCTTCAGCTTTTTCTTCAGCTTCAGGAGTTATTACCTTAATAACATAAAAAAATACAATCGAATTCAAAACCTCTTTCTTCTTTAAGTTGGTTGAAAATATGATGGGTTTGCCTTGACATAAATTCGTCTTTTTTCTAAGGTATATCAGCTCTGCGTCGAGTATTGTGCGCGTATGCACTCAAAAACCCAACTATTGGGTACTGTCAGGCTATGAACATAGTGGCCTCTGTGCTCCTTATCTACTGCCCTGAAGAACAAGCATTTTGGCTGTTGGCTACGATATGCGAAACATTATTACCTGACTATTATAACACGAGGGTTATTGGTGCACTGGTGAGTTTTAATATATAAATTTTTTTAGTTTGTTTTAAATGATAGAGAATTTCAATTAATTTATTCATAACCTGTAATATTATTTAATATAAAAAATAGGAGTACTATTTTTTTTATTAATTATTTTAAATATATATATATATATAAAAATAATAACTAAATATATTTAAGCGCAAAACTCGAGAACGGATGAATTGGTAATTTTTTTTTCAAATCGTCATAGTCGTAGAATACTGACGGATCTGACGAATATTACATATATAGATTCGTCAGTATTCTACGACTATGACGAAATAATCATTGAGGTCTTACGACGTTTTTTATGAAGAAAAAAATTGGTAAAATTTGCCTAAAAAAGTGTAAAAACTCCATTTCTCTTATTTATTCTAACAAGAAAAATTAACCGGGTAAGCGGTTTTCAATAGATGATTATGGAATAAATGAAAATGGAATGGTGATTCCGCCTATGTTAACGGTATACGTTGGCGAGGTATCAGTGAGTGGTGACAGGTGAGCATGAAACCAGGTCAGGTAGCAAACTGCAACGGATTGAATAAGATTTAACCACTATGAATTCCAGGAATAATAGGTAGGTAGGTGCACCTGACCCTATATATAATATACCCTATATTGCTAGTAATAAAGATTATCGTCCCCTTTACTAACAATCCCTCTTTCCCCAAAATAACGCTTGCAGGGTCAACTAGTGAATTTCATTTATATATGTATATATTAATAAACTTTAAAAAATGTAATTTGCAGGTTGATCAAGGTGTTCTGGAAGAGCTCGCAAAGGCACATCTGCCAGAACTTCATGCTAAGTTGGACGAGCTTGGGGTGATGAAGATGATATCTCTGTCGTGGTTCCTCACATTATTCATCAGTGTTATGCCGTACGAATGTGCTGTTAACGTCATGGACTGCTTCTTTTATGATGGCGCTAAGGTCATATTCCAGGTAAGAAGAAGACTATACGAAAACTATACTAAGATTATTTTCTATGAATATTTGTAATGTTTTTTTTTAACTGACCAGTATGTGATTAAACATATCAGCCGTTAACTGTTCAGTACTAAACATATGCCATAGACATAATGTATGGTTATTAGTGGTAAAAATGATAGATACCACTTTAGTTGGTTAATTTGTGTAACAATTGTAGAAATGTAGATTGACATTAAAAATGGGCGCAGAAGTGTTCTTGAAGCTTGTTTTTTTAGTGATGTGCCAAACACGCTAGTGATGTGCCATACACGCTAGTGATGTTGCCTTATATAGATTAATGGTGTAGATATTAACTATAAATCATGGGTTTGTCGGCTTGATGGAAAGTGGTAATTATCATCTATAGACATGTAGCATAATGGACATCACAGTAGTGTCCATGGTACCACTTATGCGTTATACTTCCATGAACAGTATTTTTTCTACCATATCTTTTTCTAAACGATACTTGGGGACAGCAATAAACTAAATATTATGAATAGCTGTTTTTTTAAGTCAAATACAGAACATTGTTTGAATATATATAAACACGAGCAGCCTCTTTGATTTCTCTCTTAAAAGTGACTCTTCCAAGATCGCTCGGACGTTTTTGTAATATGAATATATTCTTAATATCTGCCGCTTTTCCCCATAGTAATATTTAAAGAAGATGTCTCTCTAGCAGTTTTGGTTTTATTCTGCAAGGCTTTTTAATCTTTCTTTAAGAAGAAATATGTTCTATGTAATTATGCATTAAATGTAATATTTAATTTATAGGTAACTCTTACAATCTTGGACATAAACAGAGATAATCTACTTAAATGTGTAGAAGACGGACAGGCGATGCAGATACTTAGTAATTATCTAGAAGGCATATACAATGACGAAGCCATGGCTTTGTCTACGGAACCGCGCACTGCCGAGAGGGTAAGCTTGTTTAGTACAGAAACAAAATACTACTTTGGTTTTGGTATTCGTTTTTTTTTATTAACAAGTAATAAAATGATATAAAACCTTTTTTTTAATTTTGACTTCGCACTGCTGCAATATCTTGACAAAAGCACCATTTATCGGGTCCTTATTATTATTTATTCCTTCGAAGCCATGGCTTTGTCTACGGAACCGCGCACTGCCGAGAGGGTAAGCTTGTTTAGTACAGAAACAAAATACTACTTTGGTTTTGGTATTCGTTTTTTTTTTATTCAAATAAAATGAAAACCTTTTTATTAATAAATATTAACACAATTTCATTTTTGGGTCCGCGTTCAAATTGGAACCAACCATATATATTAGCGTGTAGGAACAACATGTGATTAAGATGAGTGTGTACTTACAGACTATAAAAATTCAAGATCTCGTGTATCAATCATACCGAACGTACGGGGGGAAGGTGACAAGTGAGTGCATTGAGCATTTGGGGCTGAAGCACAGACTGAGAGTGGTGAGACAGCTGGAGGACAGCCTCGAGAGGAACACGCTGCGAGCCCTCCAGCAGGACAAGTTGTTGGAACCTAATGAGTTACAGGTATGTATATACTCGTAATATTTATTTATCAACCAACTTCAAAAATTTTGTTGTATTATTTTGTTTGTTACCCATAACACCGTCCGTTTTTAATCTAATTTGGAAATTTCTTCAAGTGCAATCAACAATAAGTTTAGTCAAGAACTGAACTTTGTTAAAACTGAATATTTCGAAGTGGATTATGTAAACAATGCAAGAGTTTTCTATGTCTGACTCAATGTAAATTTTATTACAGGAATTGCTAAGCGCGATCCGGGAAGAACTACTGTGGGCTCAACGCGTGCCGTGTGATCGATTGGAAGCACCTTACGAAGCGTATCGACTTGATTACGCACAGTTCAAGACATTGTTCATGGCGCTTTCGCCTTGGGCCAAGGGGGACATGGCGGAAGTCATTACGGCTAGGATGTTTAAGGTACGACACGATTTATATTATATTTTTTATAAATTTTACAGTGTATATAGGTATTTATAGTTCTAGTTATTGGGGGAGAAGGGATTGTTAGTGATGGAGATTAGCAATCCCATTGCTAGCAATGCACCCTAATTAAGTCGACCTCAACGCGGTTTTCCCTGAAAAACATTGTGATTGTTTTATTGTTGAATTCATCACGATGAACCAACTGTCTGCTTCATTATCATCTATCACCAGTGTATCGATAGTACAGTCGGGTTAACCACTCCATTGTCACCCATTAAAAAAAAGTTTCTATTGTTTTTTTTTTTTTTTTAGATATTTATGTAGTCTAGTTATTTTTTTAACATTTGTTTAGAAAAAGAAGATTTATCTTTTACAATAATCTATAAGAATCTATTAACGTATTTTTTTATAGTTGCATACTTTGTGGTCTCTGGTTATAAAGTATTTTTTAAACTGATTAGGTGCATATATATATATATATATATATATATATATATATATATATATATATATATATATATTGTAAACAGTCAATGCAATATATAAACGATTGACCATTTACACAATGGGTGTCACATTTGCGTTGCCCATCCTCAAGAATTTTTATTATTAAAATATCCAGAAGGTTTTTTAATTTTGGAAGAACCCCATACTATATAGTCTTGAATGAGTGAAAAAAGTAGTCACTGTACGTGAACCATTTAACTTAACGATGTAAGGATGAACGGGGAGTCGACCTGTTGATGACAAGAGAGTTTTTTTTTAAATATTCGAAGGTATTTTTTAATGAGTGATAATGGAATGGTAACCCCCCCGCCTGCGCTATCGGGATAAGCTGGCGGGGCACCAGTGAGGGATGATAGGTGAGAATGAAAAGGCAGGTCAGTTAGCCCATCGTGACGAATTGGACAAGAATTAACCACTATGGTTTCCAGGGGGAACCGCGTGGAGGTCGACCTTATAGGGTGTATTGCTAGCAATGGGGCTCTTTAATCTCATTGCTAACAATGGAAAGGTCCCCCCAATATCCAAGGGTTGAAATGTCCTTTTGAACCCATATTTTTTACGTGTCAATTAGTATATGAGCCGTGTGTGGGTGTGTATTGCAGCTAATGGACGGGGACGAGGACGGGCAGGTGAGCGCGCGCGGGCTGAGCGTGGCGGTGGGCGCGAGCGCGCGCGGCGAGGCGGCGCGGCGGCTGCGCGCGCTGTACTGCGCGCACGCGCCGCCGCTGCTCGCGCGCGCTGACCTGCCGCGCTACACGCACACCGGCGAGGAGCTCGCCGCCGACGCCATCGCGTTCTTCGACAGGTAGTTGACAGTAGCCTTCTTTCTTACATGTGCAACTTCAACTTGGAATGGCAAACGAGCCGACTGCCCGCCCGGGGGGGGGGGGGGGGGGGGGGGGGGGGGGGGGACAGGGTTTGTTAGTTTTAAGATCCAACAAGCCTATTACTAGCAATATACCCTAACAGGTCGACCTTATCGCGGTTCCTCTCTTTTTTTTGTTTATCGCGTGGAAAATCTTCAGCAAGACCGTCCCATCTGCCGGAGGGCAGCTAGGGTGTGTGGGATTCGTACCCACTAAAAACATGACATGACGCACTTCGAGGCGCTTATGTTGGATCCCGGGTTTCCGTTTGTACGGCTATCGAGTATCCAACGCGATGGCCCGCCCTGTAGGTGGTGTAGGGCAGGCCTCCTCTCTTAGTTAGGGTGGGGAATATCCCTCCCACCCTACCATTACAGGAGGGCACGGATACGCGCGCACACCTCTTAGGGTCATATGTAGGGTGTGCCTCCCTCAAGGCAACACCCCGACCCTAGTGGGGGTGGGGGGAGGAAGAGGCGGAGTTGGGCGCGCCCCTCCGCTCCTCCGTCTCCTTCGTCTGGCTCGGCGGCGGCGAATGACGGGAGCGGTGGCATACTGACCATCCTCCGAACTATTTTCGGCAGCGAGAGATCATCCCCCACTTCCGCAATTAGGACGCGGCGCTCCACACTGATCGCTGGGCATTCTTCTAGTTTGCTCTATTGTTGGCTCTCTTCTCGCAATCTGACACAGGTATTGACCGAAACAACCGTGACCGGTCAGTATCTGTGTCAGCCGAAAGGTCAGTAGACCTTTGCGCCGCCCGGTCAACCAGTGTTTCAGCACTGGGCGAACGCGGTTCCCCCTGGAAGCCATCGTGATTATTTTTTGATGAAATCATCACGATGGTCCAACTGATCTGCTTCATCATCCCTCACTGGTGCCCCACCGGCGTATCCCAATAGCGCAGGCGGGGTTACCATTCCATTTTCATCCATGAAAAAGAACTGCCCGCCCGAGGGGGAAAGGGATTGTTAGCAATGAAGTTTGCCAGCTCCATTGGTAGCAGTTCACCCTATTCGGTCGATGTCTACGTGTCTATTGACCTGCTTTATCCTCACCTATCATCTCTCACAGGTGCCCCGCCAGTGTATACCGTTACCACTCCATTATCACCCATTAAAAAAAACTACCCGCCCGATAGAAAGTGGTAACCGTCGCCTATAGACATAAATAGTACTATGGACATAACTGTTTTGTCCATGATACCACCCATGCGTTGCCATTCCTGAGGACCAAGGTAGATACTGCCATATCCCAACTTTCAAACCGAAACAAGCTTGCAAATATAATTGCTTCACGGTAGATACAAGAATGGAACAGAGGTACCCAAGCAAATGACACCTGTACAGTCTCCCTCTGGTTTTATTTTTATCATAAGCCAGGTGAGGACAGGGATAAACTTTCCCTTACTGAAATGGAAATATAAACATTTTATTACATATTTTATTGAATTGCTTATTATTTTATATTTCAGTATGGAGAATTTATCTCCTCCCGATTCTATTGCATCACCATCATTGCAACGTTCTGTGAGCGATGTTTGCGGTGATGCTGATAATACGGATAGATCTGGTGAAAGTGCTTCGAGCCAGTCAGGTGAGTCATATATAATATATAGTTAAGAGATATTTAACAGCATTGTGATGTGAGGGTTATTTAAATTGACTGGCATAACTCTAAGAGTCGGGAGTTTAATTTGGACAAGTTCTACGTAAATTTAAATTTTTGTTGATATCATCATTCGAGAAATTACGGTAACACTCACCTTCTGTAACGTTTGATAACAGTATGCTTAAAGTCGACTAATGTTTCTAACCGCCTTACCTGAGATTAATGTCGTAAACATATATTTTCGTTTTTTTTTTTCAGTTAATTTATAAAAAAAAAGTGTAGTAGAAATAGACGATATCATTTCTTAATATTTAAGTTGTTAGAGTAGATAATCTCAATGGTAAAAATATTAATTCTTTTTTATTATTGACAGTCTATTGAAGTGCGCTAGTGTACTAATAAAACTGGAAGACCGATGTTTTTTTTCCTGTTGTATATTATTTTATTAAGCTTTCTCCAACATAAGTATGCTATAATATACGTTCGAATTTTAAATTTACGAGAAATCTAATATAGCGTAACGTTCGAATTTCACACTTCTCTCGCGTTAACTTTGCAGCCAGTTGCGTACAGGCGGCGGCGTCGGCAGTACGCGCATGTGCCATGTTGGGCCTGGGAAACTCACAGCCTTCGACGCCGGGCAGCACACCCCCCGCCGCCGCGCCGCCTCTCCCCCGCGACCACTTCCTGCAGCTGCTCGCCGTGCTGCACGACCTCACACAGCACGATCTCAAGCTGTACGAAGCCGTCGTGCTCGCTGGTGAGTTTATTACTAATCTAGACTTCTATAGGCGATTGGTATCACTTTCCATCAGGTGGGCCGTTAGCTTGTTTGCCAATATAAATTGCATAAAAAATTAGGTTTTCTCTTTTCGAGTTCTATATTTATTTATTCGTCTAACTTAGCGTTCATATTGAGACTATTACTATTTACAATTAGGTGGAAAATATAAATGTATATTTGTAACAACAGGTACCCTACTACTACAGTTAGGTGATTTAAACTATCGGCCTGAGTTGGACAGGGAGATATCTCAAGACAGCCTTTTCTTGGCCGCTGCAGAAAAACAACCTGAAGTAAGTAAATTTAATTTTTCGAAAATTTATGGAAAACAGATCAGTAGGGAGTAGATATAATAATAATTCGTTTAAATTAACAGGTAATAGGTTTATTAACATGCCGTGGGGTCCCAGTATAGAATGGGTCAAAGGACAAGCTTTCCTGTGGGTGCGTAAGAGCAGGCTAAAGGATCATAATGGTCGTGAAATGGGCAACAGCAGTCCTCTTAAAATATAACAAAAAATCTAACTGCTGTTGTCAAGCCTTCTGCCAAGCGCGGCAACTACTGGAAAAGCTCCCCTTATGGGGATGCCTATATTTAGCAGTGGATAGATAACGGCTGATATGATGATGAGGTCTATTAATAGGTAATCAATTTATTGATTGATTTGTAGTTTTTTGGGTTTTATGTCACTTTTTTTAAAGTCGGTTTTTTAATGATTTTTTAATGTATAAACTCTTAAACTCCTCAACAAATTTTATAAATTTTTTCACTTATAGAATACTTCATTATCAGCGAGTTATATATGCTATATTTTCGCAAAATCTACTTACCCGTGCGAAGCTGAGCCGAACCACTAGTCTTTAATAAAATAATATTGTTAAAATATATCTTCTCTACATATTTTTTAACTTACTGAGTACTAGCGACCGACCAGTGTGTGCTATGTAGATTATACATCACAATTTTTATAAACAATACCATAAGGTACACATTTATAAATAATAAACATTACAATTTTATTATATTCTGCTTTTTAGGATCTCTCAAAAAATTTATTGTTTAATTTTTTTTTAAATTATAATTAATAGAAATTATTATATAGATGACTAATTTCCATAAAAATTAATGCCAAATTATTTATTAAATATACTAAGTATTAAAAAAAACTGATTATTAATAAAAAAATTATATATCGTTTTAGGTTGATCCTAACGGAAATACGACCGACCTAGCACAAGATACGTCACAATCGTCTCCATCAAAAGAAAATGAACCCTCCACTGATAGCGAATGGTCCATAACACTCGAGCAATTCCTAGCCACCATGCTCGCACAGGAACCGATAGAAAAGTTCTTCAACGAGCAAGTACCAATACTACCTCAGTTAGAAGCGTTAAGACAAAGGGACAGGCTGCAATCTGTATCATAGTTAATAGCGTTGGCTGGGTTGCTGTGAATTTGAGTGTACCCTGCATTTATAAGGTAAGTTTTAGTGTGTACAGAAGAAGAGAAAAGATGCTAATCGTAATAAGCAAAAGCAGGACAAATATATTTATTAATTGTTAATGATGTTAACCAAAGGAGGCACTTTTATGCTCACTTGATATATTGTATCAGAACTCGGATATTGCCAAAGTGTTCTGAAACACAGAAATTGACCCCAAAAGAGACGTAGTTGCTTTTATAACACAAGTTCTTATATATTTGCAATTTATTTTAATTAAAGCAGTATTATATGACTTATATTTTGACAAATCAGAAATGCACTTCCTAAAATGCTATTTTCGAATTGGTGTTTTTATAGTAAATTGTGTCTATTTGTATATTCATCGCTTATTTTATGAAATTTTTCTATTGTTATTTATTAATATTATTTTAATTATTTCTTTTCCATTTTACGATTCTCAATTGCTTTCATATATAAATTTATCTCACCTGTTTATATATTGAATGTTTATGCTTAATTAATGTACAAAAGTGCCTAAAATATTGATGTAATAAAAAAATGCATGGTGTCTTGCACATTCGTTCGTTTTCACCTTGCAAAATATAGCATGTGTGTCAATTTATAAATATAATATATATTTGATTTAATTATGTACACACCCAATGGAATGATGCCGAGATGGAAATAAAATCCATATGTATCCATATATAATATTGTTTATATAAAAATCAATAAAGTAACCACAAAGAATTAGTGTAATCCATTTATTAGTTATAAAAATATATAAATTAATTCAAATGAATATATGTAAAGTTATAAGGATACTGTACATAATATTGTACATTAAATACCTATGTTTATTTTAATTTAATATGTAGTTTTATTATGTTTAGTTAAATTAACCAATATCCGACTGCTTAAGTGATGATTAGCATTTAAAAATATTTATGTAAATATGTACTACCAAAAAATGTAAGTGTGATATATATTGTTCGCTTGATATTTTTATCATGTTATGAATTTTATTCGAATCGGTGAAGTAGTTTAGCCTTGATAAAATAATAACAAAAGATACGGATCTTTTTCAATTAACAATAATATTTTTTCTAATCTTAACTTTTTATTTTAGTGTAATTTGGGAAAACATGCTTTCTCTTTTCCATCTTTACATTTAAATTTCTTCATAATCTTATCATATTCTTCATAATCTTACCGTATTCTTCATAATCTTGAGAAGCTATCAGTTTCTTTTGTTACTTATTTATTGGTCTAATATTAATATCTAATTTCCTTTTCAAATCGCGTATATAGATCACCTTGTCGGTTTACTTCTTTATAGATCTGAATCTCTGATATAATGAGTCTACTATCATTAATTATGTCGGTAATAAAACAATATACATTTTAAATAATGTGAAATAATTTTTAGTTTCTGTTACTTTGCGGTCCGGCCCTATGATGCGAAATCAATAGCTAAAACTCTCTATTATTTTCTCCTTCCATTTCTTCAATTTTATCAGTTTCCTACTTGTATTTATTTGACTTTAAAACGTGTTAAAAAAAAAAAAAAGATGTCCAGTTATATATAAATTAAATAAGTGTTAATTATTTTTAACAAAGTTTTGTTTATTTTCTTTTGTATAAAATTACTTTTGTTTAAAATTTTCTCTCTTTTTTAACTACTCGCTGGTATCAGAGGTTTACTTTGTAATTGTGCGTATTCTCATTCCATTAAATGTATACATCATTGGTTTGTCATTGTATTAATACTATTTGTATGAAGCGGCAAATAATGTTGTACTTTCAAAGGTGTGATTTAAACTTATTGTATTACTATTTATCTCGATACTGAATTTGTCAAGAATGATAGGTGACATTCCAAATTATATTTTTATGGCCTAGTATAATATGTTTGTTTTTATTTTTAATATAATCAAAGTAATATATAACATAATATTAAATAATATTAAGTCATTCAAAACCAGTAGCCATATTAGTTTGTTTAAGTAGATAATAGAAAATTATATAAAATTATGAAAATCCTAGATAATAAAGGCTGTATTCATTAGCATAGTACAAAACAAAAATTATAATTTGTATATGCGACTTGAGACTTTATGAGTATTTTGCCCATTTTTTTATGATTGAATCAAAAATAGACTAGGTTTTTTAAAAGCCAATTTTGAAATATAAAAATATGAAATCATCTCCTTACTTTCTACCGAAGTGGAATATTTTTAGTTTCTCATGTAAGTACTTATTACATATCTATAGCTATTTTGGTAATGTTATTATTAATTTTTTAAGTCTCTTATTTTATAAAATTTATTTGTCATAACATACAATGTTTTTATGAGATAATAAAAATATAGGTACATATTATTATGTCTATTTTTTTTATTAATTTACTTTATTGAATTTCTTGATTTTTTCATGTTGTATGTATACAGTGTGTGTCCCAAGTGGAATTAAAAAAAAAAACAATTTAGTTTCTACATTTCCTAATCACTACTTTGAAAGAGGTTATTTTAATATAACTGTTATTTAAAATTGATAAAGCTTCCATTAAAAATTACAACCACATAATGTTGCGAATTTTATTTACCTGTATATCGGCGCACATTATTTATGTTAAGTATTATAATATGAGATATTGTATTTACTTTATTTCAGTCCGCCTTTTTCCTTATTGAAAATGAGGGTTATTATTATTCTAAGTTTATATTACAACAAAATAGATTAAAATAATTCAACTATTGAAGTCCTATAACAGTTTTATGAGAATGAAACTAAAAATGTTATTTACAGAGACGTAAGACTTTACATCGTGCGTAGTTTTAGATTAAATTGGACTAACTTAACATACGTGGATGTGTGAAAGTATTCAGTAACATTCATAACTGACAGATTTATTAAATTTTTTACGGACTAATTTTACTGGAAACTCCTCATACAACAATTTTAATTATTATTGTAGGAAAACTTTTTTTCTTCATATAATTTATATTATGATCTTTTTACATGCACGAGTGGCTAGTGTCTATGTTAATACTACTTACAATACCTACTTAATTGGTAAAACTTGGAACATACTAACTTTTTCTTACATCTACGTTTATGTAAAAAAATGAATGTAATTTTTTGTATTATTTAACTGGTATATTATTATTAATATGGGCTTTTATTATTTATAAAAGATTTCAAAAATGTATGACTAAATGTATCTACATTATTAGACAAGTACATAGTGAATTTATGCTTCGTTCGTGTACGTAATTAATGGTGCTTTCGAAAAAAAAAAAATTGTGCTTAATACACTTTATTTTATTTGATAACAAAATATAAAAGCAATACTGCTTATATATCAGTATCCAACATTAGTAATAAATAATTTGCTAATAAAAATTCGTCTTATGGTTTTTTTTAAACTGTCATTACTCTATTGAACTGAAAAATTTTACCTTTGTTTTGCTAAGGCACTTTTAAAATTTTATCATTATTGTGCAAAATTGAGTATAATGGATTACTTCCATGTTATTGAATTTTTTAATATATATTATTATATAATTTTTTTTATATGAATACTATTTATTTATATATAATGGCGTCAATTTGAGATTATAAACAACTAAGGATCAGGACTTTTATAACTTTATTGCACCGCTATTTGATGTTTTTACTTAACTGGCTTGTTATAGAGCATTTAATAAGAACACTTGATAACACTGCTCTTGTCTATAGGCGATGATCACCACTTTCCATCAGGTGCGCCAACAGCTTGTTTGCCATTCTAAGTTGCGTAAAAAAAAAAAAAAAAACTTTTTAATAGATTCATATATAAATAGGTTTACAGATCATCTTTATCTGAGGTCACTACTCAACAGTGATGTAACGTTTATGAATAAACATTTTTATAAACACTTTAGCCCTTTGTTATAGAGTGCTTATGACAAGTTGATAATCTTTATGAATAAGGCGGTTAAACTGGTTCAATAACACCAGATAATACTCCTCACATACAAATAAACTGATTGTGTTCTTTTAGATATAATTCGATACTGACATATTGAGTGTTGCAGCGTCCTCTAACAAAGTAAGCACTTATGTATATTAACGTAATCTATTGAATATAGGTCTTGTCCACAGATAGTCATAATAACGTTGATAATAAACATTGAAGTCGAACTTAGATAAGAGAAATATAATTTACATGTTCTTTCTAATCTAAAACAGCATTCCTCTTTGTCTAAAGTTGGATAATGATATATAATATATATATATATATAAGTAGACATAATGTATAATATATATAACTATATGTATATAAACATAATAATTAGCATAATGACGGTAGCGCAAAATATGTCATATTTTTATATGAAACTGAAAACTTATTTGATTAAAAAAAAACAGCAAAGGAATATTTAAATACTTAATACATCTTTATACGCTGTTTTAAGCATTTATTTTATATATTTATCATCCATTGTGTTGTGTTGCAGATCATCGATTTGTTATACTATAATTATTTAATTCTAGCGTATATAATCGTGAATAGTTATACTATTACAATAGTACCTACCTATGTAATGCCATATTATAATTGTGTTTATCCAATTATCGTATACATAATATTTTAATTGTGCACAAGTCTCGAAACAATTCAGGAAATTAAAAATTTCAACCCTCGAGAGTCGATAAAAAAGTTTTAGAAAGGGTTTAAAATAACGATATATAATATAGTTTTCATATAAATGGAGGTACTTGCAACTTACAGTATGATATATTTAAATACGCATATCTGCGGCCGTGGTTTTACACCTGAGTTTATACTCTGTAATGGTATTCTTACATTACTTATGGTGCGTGTACGATCAGCATCATAAGTAGATTTTAAAACCCCTTTGTCTACTCAGTACTACTTATATATATATTAAGTTAACTTTAATATTATACGATATTTAACTAATTACATGTTATGAATTTTAAAAATGTGTAGATGCTTCTAAATTTTTTATGTTGACCGTACTTGCGGCGTCTAAAGACCTGTACAAATGTGTAACATACCTCGGCGAATTTTTTTTTTCTGTCAAAATAGAAATAGACTTGGTTTGCATAATGCGCGTCCTTGAGAAGTTATTACCAACATATAATTGTAGATATAAAATATTTTTTATGCTATATTTTAACTTATTTGAGTATAGCAGAAAGGAATGGATATAAATTTAAATACAGTAATAGTACCCACATATTTATTTTTATATGTTCTTTATCCAAATAACAGTCTGATTTTTAAGAGAATTCCAATATTATTATATAAAGAAATAAATCACACAATTTTCATTTACATCATTTTAATACGTAGGTACAATTTATAATGTTTATGTGACGTCAGCATCAGAGGTATCTTGTCGATGTGTTACCAAAGCAGTATATACCTATTACCTACCTAATTAGATATTGTCTAACGAATACAGATACAAATTTTTTTGTAAGATAAATTATGGGGCTACCTACATTAATTTAAATGTAAACTAAATTTGCTATCAAGATGTCGTGCAATGACCTCATCATCGTCTGATATTTATATTGTAATTTTATTAAATAATTTATCGTAAAAAACCTAAGTAATTGACGATTTCCCTTGACGTTTAATTTGATATTTAAATAATTTCGACTATTTATACAATATACTACTCAACGGGACTACTTGGATAGATACATCTATTTATTTATATCAATATTTTTATTTTATATCTTTGAAAAAATAATGTTTTATGCTTCTGATCTGCAGATTTGTGTCCGTTTCAAATTTTATTTGTAAAAAAATTTAACTGAAAGCGTATAAGCATCTAAAAACTAATGATATAAGTATTAAACAGATTTCCCTAAAGGTTTAAACGTGTTAAAAATTAATTATGAAATACCAAAAGTATGTTCAAAAAACATTATTCAAAGATTATTTTCATATGAAAATAAGTCTTAATCTAGCATACCTATAAAAAAATAGGCAATCCTAAATAATTTCCATATTTTGAAATTTTTAGTATATTTAAAAAAAAAATGTTTAATTTTATGAGGGAAAGTTTTTCAGTATTTCTGTTCTTTTATTGTTACACCCTGTATACGTTGTGTAATTTATTGTTCTGTATAGTGTAGAGCTGTAGCACAATTACTTATCAGCTTCGATTTGTCAATATTATTGTTAACACTACTTACACGTATGTAAATTATACCTACAGTCTTCAAATAAATAAATGCCTTTATTTGAGTTATATGTCTTTTCATTTTACCAATTCGATTAGATTTTTTTGGTATGCGATACCTCAAAATCAATGGATTCTAAGGTGTGGACAATCTCCTTGTTGTTCATTCATAGATAGTCTTATTGTCTATGAATTCATAATAAGATATCTAAGAATTAAAAAAAAAGTATTGTTTAACAATATAATCATTTTAATATTTAACATATAATAATACAGCTAGGTTATTGGTAATGTTACTGTGATTGGATAAATTTCAATACCCACGCGTTGTTAGATTTTACCGTAGATTTATCTGGTAACACGATGTGAGCTTCTCCATAGCTTATACGCCACTGAAAATAGAAAACGATAGTACATTACTTTGTTTAACAGGTTTTTAAAATTGATGAAAATAGGTCTTACTGTACCTATCTAGTCTAGAAATTCATCACCTATATCCGTATGCAAGCATTTCGCCTCACAAGATACCTATAGCAGTCTATATTGAAGCAGCCTCAGAGCATGCCAGCCTCAATCTAATCTGAGGAGTTGATTAACTTTGAGGTCGAAGCTGAAACATTGACTACGCTATGCGCACTTATATTATGACCTAAGGGGACAAACACCTCTGTCTTCAAAACGGACGACAAGCGGAGAATAACTCGACCAGAGTAAGGTCAGTAAGTTAGGTTGAGGTCTTAGTTAAGGTTTAAGGCACTGCTTTTAATGGAGATCCTGATTTGGATTCAAATTTAAAAAGTTCTGAATAGAAATACCTAATAATAATAATAATTTTCTGCTGTGGTACCGAAATATTTGATGAAGTAGGAAGGTATCTATGATCATTACTAGAGTAACTGGTATTGAACTTTTTCAAATTCTCATTACTGTAAACAATTTCACTTTAAATTTATTAACAGTTCTACTTACATTTAGAAATTCATCATTGCCTAGCAACCTGACTTTAAAGGTACCAGAGTGTAGATAAGCAGCCATGTGTCTAAGCGTCAGTATATTATTAGCCGGCCAATTAAGGAATATTGCATAGATGGCTGTGACAGTGTCTGATCTTGTGGGTATATGCGTTGGTCGCTTTGCATTATATTTGCTTTTGGTGCAGGTGTACCAAACATCACCAACGGATGTGTCGTTTTGGTGGAGCCAAGGCGATGTGGAGTAAATAGCTTCTCCATTTATTTCCAACCATTCTCCGAGTGCCAGTAGTCGTTCTTCAAATATAGGAGCTATTGTGCCTTCCTTTGTAGGACCTACGTTAATGAGGGCGTTTCCTGAAAGTTAAATGCATGCTACACTAAAATATTAAATTAGGGCATTTCTCAATATTTAATTTTTTTTTATATATTCTTTTTTGTTCGATTGTGGGGGCAGTACATTTGTCATCAGGTAATTTAAAAACGGTGAAATATTTGTTACCTCCGCAGCTAACTGTAGATACGACTTCTTTGAGCAGTTGGTTGATTGAGAGTATCTCTTTTAAATTCATATTCCTTCGGTACCCCCAAGATATTGAGTCCACCGTAAACGCGTTTTCCCATTTATGATTTTGTAATATTCCTAAAATTTTAACAACAATTTTATTAGGCAGGCACTATTTGACCATTAGAAAAGAAACAATGAAACGGATTAACAATAGTAATGTTAGTAGTACATTTACAACTACTTGCCAGGATTATATCTATCGGCGCAATTGTAGAAGTCTCCATGTTTGCACGGTATATCAATACCCCATCTATCGTTGACCACTACTTCATCTTTCACTGGACTGTCATTGTATAACCAGGCTAATAGATCTGTTGAATTCCAATACGTGTCGTATGCCTCCCAGTCACCATCAGACCAAATTATTGAAGGTTTATAATCGTTTACAAGCTGTTTTATATCGGGCCATAATTTTGTGTCCGGATATGTACGGGTAGTGAAGTTAGTCTTCTTGTCCTCTTCATAAATCGGGTTGAACCATTCGTATAATGAATGGTAAACGCCGAATTTCAAACCTTTAGCTTTTATGCTGGTTGATAAGTCTCCGACGAGATCGCGTTTTGGGCCAACTTCCTCTGCGTTCCAACTAAAGGAACGTTTGGATGGAAATAGAGTGAAACCATCGTGGTGTTTGCTTGTAAGGACTACGTACCTAAAATTACAAAACGGTTGCTCTCAAGACTAAGGATGTAAAACAAAAAGATTTAAAATATGGAGATAAAATGCAGATACAAAAAGGAAAATGATTTATCATGATCAGTTTTATTTGTATACGGTCTAAAGAAGTTAATAGTTTGTAGGACCAACTGCGAAAGAGGGCCGGACAAAGTCTGTTGTGGATTGAGAAACTGAGGCTGAAGGTAACGTAAGAGGTGACTAAGATGTCTTAGTTGTGGAGGGATGGGAGGAGCATCCCTCTTAAAATTTCACCAAAGCCTCACTGCGGTTGTTAACCCGATTGTCAATCCCTTTCTCCTCTGCTCCTCTACCCTGCCATTATATTTGAATGGATGCGAAAAGCAGAGACCACATGGTTGAAGTTATGCATTAGGGTCCATGTCCAACAGTGCATAGATTTAGATTCAACGGTGATATTGATATTGCTAATGTTAACTTAATGTGACAACAACTAACACGGAAATTTAATCTAAATTTAAATAAATCACGGATTAATCTATTAATACCTCTACATCGGAATACAGGTTTAGGTATTTAAAAAGGGAGTTCCTAAAAATATAGGCATATGTCAAGTCGTTCCCAATAAGCTTACATAGGGGGAGAAAGTATTGTTAGTAATGGGAACTAGTAACCCGATTGTTCACAATAGAGAGTATATTACTTTATTATAGTATTTGTCACGATCGGCAAACTGATCTGCTTCCAATCTCACCTGTTTCTTCTCACCTATTGAGATCTCAGCAGTTAAGCTGGCGCGTCAGCGTATATCGATAGCGCAGGCGGAATGACCATTCTATTATCATATATTAAAAATAATAGGCTTACATAGATAGGTACTTACTTTGCTCCAGATTTCACAAATAAGTCGGCAAAATTCTGAGGGTCAAAGAACTCTGCCTTGAACATAGGAGCGAATTCCTGATAAGTGAATTCTGGCGGATAATTTTTCTTCATAAATTCTATTATTGGTTTAGAACCACCTGAAATAAAAACAAAATGCTTTTAAATATGTCTAACACGGATAATTATTTAAAGAGAAATTTAAAATTTAATACCTACCTATATACTTACCTACATTGAGTCTAAGTTGAAATGCAATAGAGAAGACAAAATAATTAAAGTATGTTCCACAAAAAAGTCTGATTTCAACTGTGGTAAAATCACTTATTTTGGTATTAAAACTAAACTATTAAATCAATTTTGATAAAATTCCTATAGGATGAGTCTGAAAGTATATCCTTTCAGATAAAAAGATTTTCTAAATCGATTAATAATATAATCTATGGTTTATAACTAACCGAATAATAAGGTAACAAAAAATACAACCGATCTGATAACTTCCTCTTTTTTGAAGTTGGGTAAAATGTACCTATTCTACGTAATAATATTGATTTTATTTTGATTTATGTTACTCATAGGTACATTCAAGTACCTATAGTGCACTATTTAAACCAAATCACATCAAAACACGAAAATAATCATAGTTGTTTTGTTAATAATTCCCGCCAATTTCTTTTAAAGTTTGTATATCGAAATTCCCTGACTTTCTTGCTCTTATTATTTTACTGTTTTTATATTGATAATTTAGGTAAGTGCTTCTATATTTTCAGTCTTTAAAAAATATATTCCTATCTATGTGGCAGATATCATAACTTTACATACCTTTCCAGTTGCTCCAGAACCATTCGGAACCGTAACCTGGTACGGAGTATACGCCCCAATGGAGGAATATACCGATTTTTGCTTTGTCGTACCATTCTGGCAGTGGCCGAGTGTCCAAATCTTCCCAATTTGGTTCATACCTTTTTGTGTACTTACTACTAAAAGGACTATTGCGCCCTTTTCTGTAATCTATTCGACAATTCACAACACCAATAAAGACAGATAATAATAACAACCTCATTGTAACAAACTTATAATTCCTCTGTAATTTATTTATCGAATATTTTTTACAATAAAAATATAACCTCAAATAACGCAAACAGTCGCCCCGCCGGCACTCCGCCGTCTGATCGGCTAATCTGACAGTTCATTCATACAGGCAACGTTATCAAAATAACCTTGTTTACTTATTATTTGTTCAAAATCAGGCTGCGATAGTAATAATCATGAGATCGAATAATATGCAATCGATATTCGCTTTACAAAATAATGGGTAGGTATAGAGTAAATCAATAAACATTTTTATTGATTGACCTGTAGTCTACGGAAGACTTACGACTGTAAACAGATCTCTACTAAGTATTCGAATTTTATTATTATATGTATATTAATAAGCAAACTGGGGGCCTACCACGAAAGGCCTATTCCGAGGTTTCGGACCCAATTTCGTGTTTTCATTCTTACCTAAATTGGCACAGTAAATGGAGCTCAACATTTCGTTCGTCATAAATCCTACCATTAAAGTCCAAAAGAATAAAATTTTATTATTCTTAATGTTTTTAAACGGTAAATATTATGTAATTTTAACATCAAATTTGTGTTTCGTTCGGCTCCGAAAATACGGAAAACATTTCATGGTAGACCCTCTGACCTGACTTCATTCTCATCTATACCTATCTTTCACTGGCACCTTCTTACCAATAAGTTAGGCAGAATTATCATTAAGGTCTCTGCTCATAAAAAAAGTACCTATCAACATTTTGGAGAATGTAATTTTTAACAATAAAGTTTAATAATAATAATAATAATAACCTCCCCAAGGGATTGAACCTTGACGTGGTGGGGGGGCTTAAGGGAAGCAGGTACAAGTGCTTGGTCAGGACATCTCGACCACATACCCCAATAGGGAAGTACTTACTGACAGAGTCAATAACAACAGGACTATACCCTTCCTACTAATCATCCCAAACACAAAAACCCTTATGGAGCAAAGTGAAAGAAGATATAATTTACGGTCGCTGCCCGGGGGTCGCCGGGGCGCACCTGGAGCCGGTGCTGGGTGCTCCAGTCTACGAACCACCGGTGATGAGACGCTGAACAGGCGGGCTCTCGTCACACAAGATGCTACAGCCGGTCGTCGGGAGTTGAGCAAGCGGGCTCACGACGTTGAAGCTACAGCTGAATCTATAGGCGATGATACCATCTCACTTTTTTCATCTATCCCTTCAACTCGCCCCTCATACATGACACGGAGAACATCTACTGTTTCTTCTTCTAGTACGCTAGATGGTGTTGTGCGAGATGTCATTACAGACTATGAGCTTGCACCCACCTCTGGTCTTAACGAACGCGCAGGCGATGGACACCTGAAATGAATATTTTTATACTGCGCACTTATCTACAACTAACAACATTACACACCGACACCAAGAATTATCTTGAACCTTTACACTTAAAATTCATAGAAATGTTTCCAAATATGAATGTCAGCCGTCAAAGAGTAGGAGACCAACGTAGAGCAATAGTACGCAATAAATTGTTACCTCAAGAAACAATAAACCAAATTTATGACGATGTAAGAAAAGAATTATCTCACCCTCATCATATTCATCAAAACCGCGAATCTGTAAGAAATATACAAAAAGATACTTCTGAATCACACAACCCACAAACTCAAATTCGTATGAAATGGACAAATGAACAAAATGAGAGCTTAATACGATCCTATTACAGGATAACACAATTGGAAACAAACAAAACAGCTTACCGGAAATCATTACATGAAGCTTTTATTAGAGATTTTCCCACATGTGCTCAATTAAGTGAACAGAGAGTTGCTGACCAAAGACGAGCAATTATACATAATAAGTATATTTCTGACAATAGATTAAATGAAATAAAACAACAAATAGCACAAGAATTGTCAACTAATCTTAATAATTTAAATAATGGTACAAATAAAGCCAACACCGTAAATGAGCCCAACACTGCTAATACTGACAATGAAAATCTAAATAATATAGAATTCAACCTTCTAGAACAAGATCCACTGGCTTCACAGCAAATAGAAAGAGATCCAATAATAGACGAAACTTTTCGAAAGGCATTTCAATATTTCAAAGATATAGAGCCTACAAGCAGAAATCACATTCCTAAACAAAAACCATCTAAAAAACTGGCTAAAATAGTGCATTATCTAAACGAAGTAACACTGTCTGAAAATATTAATGCAGAGACAGATTTCATCACTTTACAAACTACAATATATTGTGCAGCTTGGACAGCAGCTAAAGTAAATGGAACCAAATTAATACTGGAACCAGTGGAAAGATCCCGGCAAATGAAAACTCATAAGCCGAGTTGGCAACGGCGACTAGAAAAACGCTTAGAAGACTTGCGTACTAAAATAGGTAGATTAATCCAATTCATAAATGGTAATACAAATAGAAAACTAGAAAAACAAATAAAAAACATAGTAGAACAATATAAAACACATTCTGCACACGAGGAATCTAACATGCATCTCACACACACACTTGATACGCTTAAACAGAAACTCGCAGTCGTATCAGGTCGCTTACGAAGGTACAAGGCGTGCACATTAAGAAAGACACAAAATAAACAATTTTACAATAATGAAAAGTATTTCTATAGAAATATTATACAAGCAACGACAAATATACAAGAAAACAGAAATAGTGATAATAAAGGCAATCTACCAGATATGAAGAACCTCCGTGACTTTTGGGCAGGAATTTGGGAAAATCCTGTTGAACACAACATGCAAGCTGACTGGATACAGTCTGAAACTGCAAATAACAACTCATCTATACAAGAAATGACATTTGAGTACATTCCAATGACCACATTTAAAAAAGTACTAAGTAACCTACATAACTGGAAATCAGCAGGTTCAGATTGTATCCACAGTTATTGGTATAAAAAATTTACTAAAACCCATGAACATCTGCTTAAACATATTAATCAATTCATTGAAAACCCGAACACAATCCCAGATTACATCACCCGTGGAATATCTTTTATGATTCTTAAAGACTTTAAAGATCCTGCTAATCCCGCAAAATACAGACCAATTACGTGTTTACAAACGTTATATAAAATTATGACATCCTGCATATCTGAACTAATATATGAACACATTGCCGAAAATAAATGTCTAGCCGAACAACAGAAAGGATGTAGAAAATTTAGTCAAGGATGCAAAGAACAATTAATTATAGATTCTGTGGTCTTAAAACAAGCCTTAAAGTCAAAATCTAATTTATTTTCTATGTACATTGACTATAAAAAAGCTTATGATTCTGTCCCTCATTCATGGTTAACAAAAGTACTAGAAATATACAAAATACATCCAAAAATAATTACCCTTTTAAAGACGGCAATGAAAAATTGGACCACTCAATTATATATACAACAATAGAGACGCAACCCATTAAAATTCAATAGTATCTTTCAAGGTGATGCACTAAGCCCTCTGTGGTTCTGCCTTGCCCTAAATCCCCTTTCAAATATATTAAATTCAACACAATTAGGATTTCATATTCAAGATAAAAGTATTAATGGACATCCAGAACCTAACGAAACCATAAATCATTTACTTTACATGGATGACATAAAGCTTTATGCCAGTAGTGAAAATGATCTCATTCAACTAGCTACCCTCACTGAACAGTTTACAAAAGATATTAAAATGGAATTCGGTATAGACAAATGTAGAATAAATTCAATTAAATGTGGGCAGTATTTTCAACACCACTATACAATGACTACAGGAGAACAAATCGAACCACTAGAAGAACAGGAAACATACAAATATTTATGGTACAATCAGGCACGCCAAATTCAATATAAGGAAATTAAGCAACAATTAAAACAACAGTTTCGTCACAGACTCAACACTATTCTTAAAACGCAACTAAACGCCCGAAATATAATAAAAGCTATTAATAGTTTTGCTATCCCTATACTTACATACTCTTTTGGCATTATTACTTGGACAAAATCAGACCTAAAAGCTCTACAACGAATAATACACACCACAATGACTAAGACACATAAACATCACCCCAGATCTTGTCTACAAAGACTGACGCTGCCCAGAAAAGAAGGCGGTAGGGGCCTTATAGACATAGTGAATCTACATAATAAACAAATTACAACTCTAAGGCAATATTTCTTCAATAAAGCCGAATCCTCTCCAATCCATAAAGCAATAATAAATAGTGATCACAAATTAACACCTCTTAACCTGAAAAATAAAACGACACAAAATAACGAAAAAATTACTGAAGAAAAGACCAAAATTGCCGAGTGGACTGGAAAGTCTTTACATGGAAGGCATCGACAAGACTTATGCCAAACTAATGTCGACAAAGAGGCGTCGAACGCATGGCTAAGTCGAGGAGAACTCTTCCCAGAGACTGAAGGTTTCATCATGGCAATTCAAGATCAAGTAATAGAGACTAAAAACTACCAGAAATATATAACAAAAACCCTTACATCTGATATATGTCGTAAATGCAATAGCTGCCCGGAAACGATTCAATACATCACAGGAGCATGTAAAGCAATAGTGCAAACTGATTTTAAACATAGACATGACCAGGTAGCCAATATAATACACCAAAAACTCGCCTACCAAAACAAGTTCATTACCTCCATTCAACCATATTATAAATATAAGCCTGAGAGTGTACTAGAAAATTCCACAGCTAAACTTTATTTTGATCGAGCCATCCTCACAGATAGAACAATCCACTACAATAGACCAGATATTACATTAATAAACAAAACAAACAAAACTGCTTATTTGATAGATATAGCTGTACCTAATACACACAACATACAAAATACAATAGCAGAGAAAATATCTAAATACACCGAACTTCAATACGAAATCACCCGACTTTGGAACTTACAAAAAGTGACAATAGTTCCAATAGTACTGTCCACGACAGGTGTAATACCAAAACAACTGCATCACGCGATAAATACTCTAAAGTTACCACCCAATATTTACCATCAATTACAGAAAGCCGTAATCCTAAATACATGCCGAATTGTCAGGAAGTTTCTGCAAATTGGACTAGACGTTCCTGGTACATCTACAGGTTAACATAATATTACAAACAGATTACCAAATTACATTTATACAAAAAACATAGCACACAGTTATGCACTTGGCTTAGGCCCGTGTACACCTGTAAAACCGGTTTTAAGCCGAGATATCGTAAATTTAAATTAAAAATAATAATAATAATATTTCTTTATTTACGGATTACTAAGATCCATTTTTGTTAGTAACAATTGACTTAAACTATGTTAGTAGAGAAAAAAAAATACAAAATTCATTTTATGGCCCCTATAATAATTTTGACCCACAATGAGAGGATCAGGCTATCGTATTTATCAAATAATGCCCTCAGAATGCCGTTACTGCTGCCACGCAATCGGTATAAAAGAGATGCAATCCGTTTGCGTCTGATGGCATAGAAGTCATCTGTCCATGCCGCTGCAAACATTGTGGATGCACTACAAAAACGTGGCAGCCGTAACAACACCCTGAAAACATTATTGTATTGAACACGCAGAGCGCTGTATGCCCGCTGTGTATAGTCAACCCACAAGCTGCTCGTGTAAAAAGATTGGCAATATGCCTTGAACAATATTATTTTGACTTCAGTCGAGCAACGAGCAAACCTGCGAGCCAACATATTACCCCTTACAGCCAGCGCCCTGCGTTCACGTTCAATGTCAGCGTTATCTTTCAAGTCATCGGTAATAATGTGTCCTAGATATTTAAACTGAGTCACTCTATTGAGAGGAACACCGTTTAGAAGAATTGGTGGGATTTGTGGATTCTTACTACCTAGACCGAAATATAAATTCACTTTTTTGTGTATTATATTTCAGACCATGTTTTTCAGCATACTTTTCACACACGCTTAGCAATTTACGTATAGCTCTGATTGATGGACTCAGCAGCACCATGTCGTCAGCGTAACTCAAGTTATTTACAGCAATCCCGTCTATGTAACAGCCCGCATGCATACTGCTGAGCTCAGCGATCAGGCTATTCATATATATATTAAAAAGTGTAGGCGAGGATATACCACCCTGTCTCACCCCACACTCCAATCCATACTCTTCAGATATTTTATCCGCCCATTTAACAACGTTAATTTGATTATCATACCAATACTTAAAAATACCAATCAGTTGAGTTGGAATATTCAGCTTTTGAAGTTTGTTCCACAGGATCTCATAAGACACCAGGTCGAAGGCTTTTGACAAGTCCAAAAAGCACGCGAGGACTGGTGTCTTTCGTTCTAAATAATACTTGACAGTATGCTTTACACTGTATATAGCACTCTCAGTAGAAAGTCCAGGCTGGAAACCAAACTGTGCCTCATGTATTTTAACATTTCCCCTGAGATGCGCATTAAGCAGACTGTCAATATCGCCAAGATATAATGAAATGGGGCGGTAGTTACTTTTGTCACAAATATCACCCGTCCTACACTTGACAATTGGCACAACAACAGTTCTCATGAGATCCTGAGGCAGATAGCCGTGTCCCAAGCATAAAGAATAAAACATAGCCAACACTCCGGGCAAATGACACCCTGCATACTGAAGGTGTTCAATGCTCAGGCCGTCATGTCCAGGTGATTTGCCCCTTGTCATATTCATTATTATATTTTTAATATCTTTAGATGTGATTTGTATACTCCTATGATCCTCAGAATTAATATTTTTCTCTATATATAAGCACCTCAGTGCTAGCAATATATCGTGAGGGCCTACCATGGAATATTATTCGAAATTTCGGGACCGAATGAAACACAAATTTGAAAAAAAAAAACGTTTCTTTGAATTATTATGGGAGAATTTATAACGAACGAAAAGTTAAGCTTCATTTACTGAGCCGATTTCGGTTTGAACAATAACATAAATTTGAAATCGAAAATTCGGAATTTAGTTTAATGGAAGACTCTTTGTAAATGATCATGGAGGATCATTAATGACTACAGCACAGATTCCTGATGACTATTTTCTTTGTTATTAAAAATTTGATCAGGAACAACTCATTAAGATTTGGCAAATGTTTTTGCATATTGATAGTGAACGGACGCCAAAAAAATTCACTCAGGTAGCTCACAAACGGGCGAAGTTTTTTTTTCTTCGTTAACAGGGGGACCAAATTAAGATAAGGTCGGCCTTAAGCGAGTTTCGTTGTCAAAGACCCTTAGTACTTTTCGAAGTAAAGAACGGTTGGATCTTTTTTGAAAAATTTAGATACATGGGAACATACTACAATAACTGCAGGAAAAAACAAATGTATTAAATACACAGTATTTATTATTTATAACATCTGCTTAACGACTAAAATATGTATAATTTATTTACATAAGTAATGAGATCATATTAATAATACTGCATAGAAATACAAAAACGTATAAGTATAAAAATTTGCCATTTGTCAAGCTGATGTAAAATAAAACTATTTAGCAATTTTTATATATTCAAGTAAAAACTAAAAATAGTATCAAATGATATGAACAAATGTATATATTGATATACATATGTATCGCCAACTTCGCTTTTGATTTTGTGACTAGATATTACGGCAGCTGATTTATAAACTAGTATAAATATTATCAATTAATATTATTTACTACATTTCTTATAATATTGTTTTTTTTTAATGGGTGATAATGGAATGGTAACCCCGCCTGCGCCATCGATATACGCTGGCGGAGCACCAGTGAGGGATGATAGGTGATGAAAGCAGGTCAGTTAGCCCCTCGTGAGCAATTCTGCTAGAATTTACCATTATGGTTTCCAGGGGGAACAGTTTGGAGGTCGACCTGATATGGGTGTATTGCTGGCAATGGGCCAGTTAGACACCATTACTAACAATCCCTTTCCCCCCGATTTGCGCAATCGGCAATTTCATATGCACCAACCCAATATATACATATCATAATGCTTATACTAATTTATTTGACGAAGGTAGCCGGATTTATCCATCAGGGAACCTGTGTTTATTTCTTTTTTCATTTATGTAAATGTCTACTATATATCCATACTAACTAAATAGAAACATAATATAGTATAAAAATTTACAATATTTTAGAAATATTAAACAAAACCAAGTATAATATAAATATATTAATTTGCCAAAAAGCTAAGCGGTGTACAACAGCTGGATATGAAAATATCTGTAATACATAATACTTTTTGATTTTCCTTCTTCTAGAGATAACATTATTTATTTACAACTAGAAAATTTTATTCCTCCACAGGTTGGAGACAAACTAAAATCTGAAAACTATTAAATAAAATTAAGTTTGTCTTGTATGTGCTTACCAATTTAATACCCAAGTACAAAACGAAAAAATATATAAAAAAATTAAAGAACAATCCACCAACTTTCAATATTTTATACTTTTAGTTGTAGTGATAATTAATGGCCATAATTAACATTCTGCAGAGCAATACAATCAAATTAAAATAAATTCATATATATATATATATATATATATATATATATATATATATATATATATATATATTCTAGATAACTGAACAACATAGGCATAACTACACCTGTTTTTTTCAATACTTAATATAAAAGCATCAAAGCAAAATGCTTTAAATAACATAGCTAAATATCAGTTTCATTATAAAGTACTGTAATAGTAATGTTACAACAACAACATTGAAATTATATAGTATACATACTTGTACGTATATACATGAATATAACTGCAATTTAATATATATTCACAGGCTCCTGCTTATCTTAGTAATACTTATTGTAAAGATTTTAGAAATAAAAGGTATTTTTATTGACCTGATATTTTGACTATTTTGGTTGTGGACAATTTTATCCGATAAGAATTGTTTTAACATTAATTTATAACAAAGATATGTAGGTATGTATTTTTAACAGATTTACAATTAGTATATGTCATTAGTAAGTGACTATACCCTTATAAATATTACACTATAATTTTATAATGGAATGATCTAATTAAATGTTTTACTTTCAATGCTTATTATATATGTTTGACTTTATTTTATACTATGTAGTGATATAGTCCCAAGCATAGAATAGGCCACCCTTCCCTTTTCTGTGGGTGTTGTAAAAACTGATTAAGGGAACTTAATGGTCCCAATAGGCAGAAATAGGCAGCAGCATTCCTTTTAAAATATCACTAAATCTTAATTGTAGTTGCCAACCTACTTGCCAAATGTGGCAACTATTAGCAAAACTTCCCTTATGGGGGAGGTTTATGTTGATGATGTATGATGATGATGACTTATTACATACAGTTTGTAAATCATATTCATATGTGTTCAGAATTTTCTTAAGCTACGGCTTCATAGGTTAAGAATATTGAATCCGATAAGGGTAATCAACTATACAAAACTAGTTTCTTATAGTATATGTTTCAGTTTTATCCACTTCCTCATTAGGAAGTGGATGACACTGCTATTAGGTGTCCACTTTGAATGTTGAGTAATGGCAAGCACTATTGATGATAATCTCCCCTATTCCTGATGTAGGGGGCGTCTGTGATGATGTTAAAGGGTCTATATGGGCTGTTGTCATAACTGGTGTGGTGTATAGTTTCCCATTGTGCATCTGTGGTGAATTATGCGGTTGACTAGTGTGTGTGTAGACAGAACACCCTGAATTTTGTTCTGTCCTCGGTTCGCAGATCATACCCATTTTAACTTCAAATATGACATCTTGGATTTTCTTTTTAGCAACTAATAAGTTTTTTTCGCCTTTTAATGATCTTAATTCATTGGCTATATACTCTCCAAAAACTGAAAACTCATCTCTACTTTTGGATTCAGTTTGGAAAAGAAGTTCTGGCTTGACAGGTGTAAAGGTATCCGTCCTCGGGATTTTATGTGGTGGTGATAGATTAACAATTTTACATTCACTAATAGAGTTTTCCGAATGTGTTACTATATTGCTGTTTACTTCTGACTGTAAATCCTGGAATTTGGTTAAATCATATTACAATTATCATTTTATTTAATTAAACATTGTGCACTTATAGAACAAAAATTTAAATACTTTATTTTGTTTTTATTTTTATTTAGTGGTTGAAAATTCTTACAGCATTATTATTATTAGGTTAGGAATAATAGGAAAGGCTGAAATTGGGTCAATTGGCTTATTAAGTTTCCAGGACCATGAAGGTTTATCTGATATGGTTCCTTGTAGGTGATATTATAGACTATATTATATTCAGTGCAATGAGGCAATGGAAATGTAAAGTACAGAAAACCAAGATAGCAAAAGTTGATAATTAAAAAAAAAGTATAAAAAATATATATACACGTAAAAAATAAAGGAATTTGCAACATACCTGTTATTAATAATGCTCTTAAAAATTTTAGAATATTAAGTTTTTAAATTTAAGTTAAATAATAGATTATTAATTTTAAATGATTATTTTACTACTTACCGACTGCAATACTCTATACGGTTTATTAGAATCCTTCATAAAGTGGAGGTACTCAAATGCGTACCAATTACTGACGTATCTGTCGTTTGGATCCTCGGCGTTAGCTCTAGCCTCTCTTGCCGATTCTCTGTTGTATTGTGTTCTTAAGTGTTGAATTTTCTTCGTAGTATCCGGCACTGAAATGCCAAGCAGTTCTGATATAACCCGTAATTCTTCCTTGCGTTTTTGTTTATCTCTTCTGGTATCACACAGAGACGGATTCCAAATACTCGCGTTCACTTGCAACAATTCGATCAACTTCAGCGTTTTATCCTTAGACCACTCCATCGAACAGTTCGCTAGAAGCGCCTGTAGAAATTATTAAACAATGGATTTGCCGTGAGAGTCATTTGACGACAAATCGTTAGATAATTCAGTAAACTTTGTCGATCAAGATCAACGGAATGCAAACCGATTCCTTCTACATTAATGCGAAGATAATGACAGTGACATTCGAATGAATACTGACAGTCACAATGACAGTTGTAGATAACTAAGAAATAAGTTGCCTAATTAAAATTACTCATTTTGCGACAGCATTATTGTAATTAAATCTTTATAAATTTGTAAATATGAAGCAAAAGTACTAACAGTTTAAAGTTGCGTTTGTCTATAGTGAAATCGCAGATAGAATAGTCGCTGTATTCGGATTTATCAAGTCCTTGGCTATGTTAGTAGAGAAGCAAGCGAATAGAGACTTTATCACACTGTTTTAAAGTTTGTATTAATTCGCTTTTATAAAAAAATCTAATAGCAAACAGTAGTGAGGCGACATTAAATGAACAAAAATATTAGTTTTATGATTTGTCACTTTTGATATTACTGTTAATAAAAATAATTGTTCGCGACATTATTTGTATATATCGTAATTTATAGTTGTTAAGTCCCTAGTTAATCGTTTCTGTATTCTGTTATTTTATATAGATTTACATAGATTTTTTAGTTAAATAAATTCCTTTGCGTGTTGTTTATATACGAATAGAAATTGTAACAATAAATAGAATTAAGAAATTGTAAACACACTATAACCGATCTGAAGAGACATTTTATAATTTTTATTAATTTTTTCGAGCGGCATTCGCTTCCGGGCAGCGACGCACAATCGAGAAGAAATAGGACAAGAAAAAAATCTCTTCAGCGGATCAGAAAAAAGATAGTTTAATCCACACCGTTCAATAATAATTCTTAAAAATATTTTTTTTTTGTGAGTTTGCATTTTTAGTATAAATTTATATACAATTAGGAAAAATAAAATCGACACACTATAAACAACATTTTATAATTTTTATTAATTTTTTTACAACAATGTCAAAATATTTAGCATAAAAAAGACATTTAATACAAGTTAATTGATTCTTGTGTTTGGATCTAAGTATTTGGATACATTCAATTATTTGTAAATAATTTTATAGTTCGATTAATCGATCTCAAATCATCATAGTAAAATCATTATAATTTTAATATCTAATTAATTGTACATAACTGAACATAGGCCACTGTCGAGAGTTTTTTTTTATTTATGTATGGAGATGGAATGGTGCATCCGCCTTTGTTAATAATAGCGAGGCATAGCGGGAAAGTTCTATTTATTTATTTATTTATTGGTACAAAAATGTGTACCAAGCAGATTTAAAGCATTCTTTCCCAGTCAACCTTAGGGAAGTGTTAGAATACTTGAATAAGGTTTTAGTTTTATTTTTATTTTTACATAGATACAAAAATTAATATATATATAAATAACAAATATACATATATAAAATATACTATTTTATACATGAAAATGAGAATAGGAGACAATACAGTAGGTAGGAATGTTTGTATTTTATATTTGTCAAGACTTCCACGATACTTGGAAACCGTCGACGTTAATATATATAAACCTTTATATCTGTTTCGACTGTTTTCCACTGGAGTAGGCAGAAACAATGGTATGCCAAATGCTCCGATTCAAGCAGACCTCTCTCGCTTTCTCCACATTCATCAATCCATTTTAAAGCTACGCTCAGCGGTTACAGGTATTTTTAATTTGACCTCACGTCGCCTATTTGATCTACATAGGTACGTCTATATAGAGCAATCCCTACTGACATCTCTATTCATTCGTACTACTTAAATCTCTTTCGTAATTTTTCTTTCATCCATTCTCTTCAAACGGCCAAACCAATGCAACATTTCTTTTCGATCTTTGTTACTAAATCATCTTTCAGCCCACTTTTCGTTTAATCACACTATTTTTACTTTATTTTTTAATGTAATATAATAATGGCAATCTTGTAAATAATAATAGTTTTGATCTCATTACCACTAGGGGGAAAGGGATTGTTAGCAATGGAGTTTGACAGCCCCATTGCTAGCAATATACCCTATTAGGTCGACCTTCACATGGTTCTCCCTGGAAACCATTGTGGATAATTCTTGTTGAACTCATCACGATGGGCTAATTGACCTGCTTCATCTTCACCTATCATCCTTCACTGGTGCCCTGCTAGTGTACCTATACCGATAGCGCGGGTGGGGTTACCATTCTATTATCACCCATTAAAAAAAAAGATGCCATTATCACTTTTTAAATAAAAGTAACAAATTTAAACGTTCAATCATTTGATCGATCGTCTTATGCGTCAGGTCAATTTAAGTATTTGTTAGTTTAAATTTTAATTAAATTCTTTTAAAGTACCCTATACAGACCCCATTTGACAGATATGGGTATTTGCTTATTTTTTATAATATTTAAAATGGCACGCGAGCTGACGGCCCACCATCAGGTGGGTCGTGGAACTTTTCATTAGAAAGGTGGCATACGTCGTCTATAGACATGAGTAGTACGTTGAACATCTCAAAGCCCAGGGATTTTATGGATACCAATTAATAAGGAGGAATTATTATCGACAGGGATTTCACCCTCATATCCTACAGCTTAAATGGTCGCGTACAACGCGGTTTCACAACTGCTGAGGTTTTCCCAAGAGACTACGGCATGGGGTTCTTCAATAGGGGGGTAAAGAGGTTTCTTCAGGGACGACAACGCGCGTGTATTGCAAGCGTTCATAGGCTACGGTAACCAATTACTATCAGGTGAGCCGTATGCTTGTTTGCCACCTCAGTAGTATAAAAAAAGTCGCCCATGAACACCTGCAACACTGAGAGGAGTTGTTTGTGTGTTATCGGCCTTTTAAACATTCCTAAATCTATTAAGTTTGTGACAATAAATAAAAGACTAAATATCTAATTCATTTTCATTTATTTACAAGACTACAATGTGAATTGACTGTCACATTATAAAACAGGTGCCCTACGGAATATGTCTATCCGTAATATTTACAATATTTACAAAGATCATCCAATACAAATGCATTAAAATAAAACATGTAGGTACTACATTTAATATTGAGTCTCCCTCAATCAGATATTATCTTAGATTACAGGAACTAAATAACAAACACATGAGGAACCCAAAATTAGCGTTCGGAATATGTTCACATAGCTACAACTAAAATAGTTAACTTATTTGTAGGTACATGGTACGAAATTAACATAAAACAATCAGTTCATTTAATAAACGATTAACATAAAATATACATAGTTCCATTTACATAGGTAGTCAAGTTACGAAACTAACGAACCTAATGATCACAACTTCAAAATAATAAGTCTTAAATAATTAAATAGACGATTATATAAACCAGTTTTTATCCACACTAAAGCTACGCCAGAGACCTTCATGCATAACGAGGCGTCTTATTAATTTGACACTAGAGGGCGATACCTTCTAACGAGTAATAGGTAGTAATACAGTAGTAAGGATGGGTAATATATACCTATTTCTATATATTGTATTTACCAGAGGGAGACTTTGTACAAAAGTCGATTGCTTGGCTACTTCTGTCTGGGAAGATCTGTGTGGGATATGGCGTGAATTTACTGGGTACAGAGGAATAATACCTGAGTCCTCAGGAATGGCAACGCATGGGGGGTATCATGGGCGAAACAGTATACTCTGTTATGTACATGGTACTGCTCATGGCTGTAGGTGACGGTTACCACTTTCCATCAGGTGGGCCGTCAGCTTGTTTGCCATTCTAAGTTGACTAAAAAAAAATTACAATATCTATATATTATATTGGCCAATAATAGATATTAACTATCTATTATCCAATATTATATATCGAAAAGAACCCGCTCATAATGAATACAGATATCCGACTGGTACGGACAATATCGCAATAAGTGGTCATTAATGACCAGACCTCAATATATAGATATTGGATGTTTTCTTTTTTTTATGGGTGAAAATGCTATGGTAACCCCGCTTGCGCTAACGGGATACGCTGGCAGAGCACCAGTGAAGGGTGATAGATGAGAATGAAAACAGGCCAGTTAGCCCATCATGATGAATTCATCAGGAATTAACCATGATAGTTTCCAGAGAGAACCGCGAGGAGGTGAACCTGGTTGGGTATATTGCTAGCAATGGGATTCTCAGTCTCCATTACTAACAATCTCTTCCCCCTAAAGATATTGGATATTACCCATCTCTATATAGCAGTACTAGTTTTCGTGATTACATTCGTTACAATCATTACTATACTATCATATATGAGTCGTCACATATGCATATACAGATGTACAGCGTAATCGTACAGAATATAACATTTTTCAGTACGAGATTCATGTAATGTATAGACAGATAGATCTTTTTGTTGCCAACAACAATAATAATTACAGTTAAAAGAAACAACACAAAAAATCCATGAAATGTTTTCCGAAATTTCGGAGCCAATCGAAACACAAATTTGATCTTAAAATTATATAATACATGCCATTTGGAAATATTAAAAATGTTAAAATATCGTTCCTTTGGACTTTTATGGTAGGATGTATGACGAACGAAATGTTAAATTCCATTTATTGGTCCACTTTTGATATAAACAAAAACACGAAATTGAGTTCCAAAATTCGGAATTTCATTTCATGGTAGACCCGCAGTATAGTATAGTATATTATGCACGTAATAAGTGCGGAGCTACTTCAATATACAGCGCATATTAAATGTAGCGCGTAAAGCGTAGCAATCAAGTCGCAGATCAATTCGCGTAAAGAATGCGAAGAGATAGTTACGCATTACGCGATGAAGGCTGTAATATATATGCGATTACGACTCATGTACGATGTCTTCTCCAATTATATAGTGATAACTCTAATACCGAAAATATTTAAAACATTGTCTAAATGTTTTTAAAAAAACGAAACATGATTTAATCGATTGAATATTGTTTAGTCAGTGTAATAAAGGTTATTAGATTGTTATAATACAATTTATTATTTTAAACACCTTTTATTTTTAATAATATAAAAATCTCTTTTATTTAAACATAAATAGAAACACACGATTTTTTAAAACATCTAAACATAGAGATATTGAACTCAACATGTTTGACTTATTTATGACAAGACGCAGGGGCGCCGACTCCGTGAGCGCTCGGGGGTTTCCAGCACCCACGAGAGGTAAATAGAGGATGCGGAGCATCCATTACGCTAGACATCATAATATAACTAAAATAACCCTCATCCCACTATCTGTTGTTTAGGTCACGTTTGCTTTTCTAGCAAGCGCTGTCTTTCAGTTGAATCATGATGATGTACCTAGTTATCAAAAGAACAGCACATGTGAGATTTTTTAGAAGATACCTCTGGGGTAAGATGATTAATGCTACTTCTTATCTTTGTCATGCCAAATTTCATTAAAGCAACTGTTTCGTTTAGAAACCTAACCAAACTGATAAGAGATTTTTCTCATTGAAATTATTACACGATGTGTAACGTAACGAGTGAAAAGCAGACACGTTTTAGAGAATATATTAGGTATTTAATTAAATTATTATTATTATTTAGATACCTAAGTTTTAAGTATACATACTATAAACCAAGTATTGTGTTTTTAGTTATCATTTACTGCTAATAGAATAAATATCTATTTTACAACTGGGTCTATTTTACACTGGGTCCATTTTAATTTGGTAATTTCGGGTAATTACTATTTTATAAACAATCATATATGAAAATAAGAATAATTTTCATTTAAATCTATTAGGAAATCGATGAAAAGTAATATCAAATTGAAATTTTAATATTTGATTAGACAAATAATGCCTCAGAATTACACCACTGTATTTAAATAAAACTATTTAGATTTCAGCATACAAAAAAAAAAAAAAACTGTCATCAAAATAAAGTATAGGATAGTTTACTTAATAAGTACACTATTTAAATTCAAGTAGGTCAAACTAATTGCAATGACCGAAATAACAAATATTATGAACTCATAAGAGTAAATAAAGATTACCTAAATATTAAGGCAGACAGCTATAGAGGCTTACTCTCAGTTTATATTGATATATATAATCTGGATTAGGTGTTTATATGCATATTATATTGGGGGGGGGGGGGGGGTGGCATTACATATATGTGTTTAAAATCACATCTACAATTTTTGATTTGTTACTTTTCAGTACATTTTCTAATAAGTTACTTAGGTTATATAAACGTAGGTAAAAGGCTGAAAACAGATTTGTATGTTGGGTTGCCATCTATTTAGGTATTTTACAGATCAGATAGTGTTAGACAGTGTTTGTACCAAAATCTAGCATCAATTTGAATACCTATTAATTTCATAAACAATTGCCCTAGAACGTTGCTTAGAATCTATCACTAAAAAGTTTGGCAACTATTACAATTTTGTTTTGCAGTTATCAAACACATTATTGCTATCAAATTTCAAATTAAATTATTACTTCACATATTATATTATAAATTACATATATTGCAAATATTATAGTACAATGAAAAAATAAATGTTAAACATTTTAAATTTAATCATATTTCACTGGAATTTAAAAATTAAAAACTCAGATAAGCAAATAATCGATCAAACATTACATATTTACATTGATTTATAAGGCGTCTTGTTATCACCGACTACAGAAAGCAGGTGTTCACAAATTATTGCCATTTTTTTCCGTACATGCCCATAAACGTTGCATGCAAATATATTTTTAATATTACATTACAGAGATATAACACAACTGAATTGAAAGTTGAAATCAATCACATAATAATAACAACAATTAAATAAAATGTATATACAAATTTTATACAATTTCATTCAGTGGCTATAGATAAACGTTGCGAGTTTAGAGATTCGATGGTTATTTCATTTCAAATTAAAATAATAGATTAATATCTGTGCCCTACTTATATTTGACACAATATAGATATACCTACTTATGGCTACAAAAATATGTATCCAATGGAAATATCTTATTATGCATCTAAGTATTTACGCACATACACATACCGTGAAAAGACTGTACGAAACAGTACTCTGTACAAAATGGCTTTAAATACCATACACTTATAACCATTACAAACAATTTAACGAATAATATAGTTTCTTATTTTTAACAATTGACAATACTCTGTCTATTTATGTTAAATTGGTGGTCATATTGCATTATTACACTTATATATAAATAATTACAGTTTAGTTTGAACTTGTTTCTCAACTATCTCAACGTTACTACTCTCATTTAGGCCTAATTCACAAGCAACCTCCGGTGACCAGTCACTCAATCAGGTCTTCCTTAATACATCACAAATAAACAAAATAAATACTAGCTAGCTATGCCTGTACAAAGTCTCACATTAGTGTCGTTTACGTCACGTCGAGAGGTCGGGAATCACGGGATCTGAAGAAGCCTCGCTCTGTTCTACACTCTCTAATGGTCACAGTCTGTAGGTTGACCGTGACGTCGGTGATGAAGATTTGGTCCGCGACAGGAGAACGCGCCATCCAGTATGCGGCGTCGCGACGTGGCGGCTGTGGCGGTGGAGGCGGTACTGCGGGGGGCGCTTCGCCCCAAGAGTCCTCGTCTTCAGGCTGGGGTGCGGGAGGTGGCGGTCGGGCACCCTTCGGTTCCGCTGGCGCGGTCGCCGTTGGCTGGGTGTCCGTTCGTCGTTCGCGGTCTGGGGGTGTGTGTGCGTCCGCTTCCTCAGGCGAGTGCGGCGCCCTTCGCGGACCTGTCCTTGGGGCGGCAGCTTCTGCAGCGGGGGAAGCTGGTGCGGCAGCGCCCCCTGGAGGCGCCGCGGGGGGAGGAGGCTGGTTGGTGTGTGGAGTCCGTCCGCCATTCAGTTTTGCCGAGTCGTGTCGTTTCGCTGGTGGGCTCATAGTAATTGTGACACCAATTTTTCCTGACTCTTGAGATAGAACAGCAGCTTTGCGTTTGCCGGGTGGCGGATGTGTTTCCTCGGATCCACTTCTCGCTCTCTCCACTGGCGAATGCTCGCGCTCCCGTTTCCGTCCTTGCCTGCGTAACTCCTCGCCCCGCTCGAAGCTCTGAATCAGGCGCGGATCGAGAATATTCTCCTCGGGCTCCCACGTGTTGTGTTTCGGCTTCCACCCTTTCCATTTCACGTAGTACTCCACTTTGTTCTGAAACGAGAGAGATCGACGGTTACTTAAAGAACTTTGTTCAATTTTAACGAAATTATGGAGCGAGCGTGTCGCCGGGTTGTCGTGGCGCAACTGATCGTTGGCGTGCATAACGAACGGGAGGGTTGCATATAGCCTCGCAGATTTTATGCGATAACACTGTGAAAGCACAGGAATAAACGTTCCCTGGGCTTATAAATAGAATGTGAAAATTTACTATGTAGGTAAATTGTTCCACTTATTTGGAGACTAAAGATAGGTGCTATATATGGCGAGGCAATATTGAGAAGGTTATTTGGGAGTATATTTGGTAAATGTATTGTTTATTTCGGTGCACGATGTGGTGGTGAGTTCGCGAGTCATTTCGGGCGCACCTGCCGCCGCGCGGCTGCGGCCCAGCTGTCGTGTTCCCCGACCCGGGGCCGAAATACGGCGTTATTGTACGCACATAAGTACTGTGGGCTACTAGCTACCTAAAGAGGTAGATGTATATGCAGGTTGCACGCAATTATATTCTAATATATTGTCTACAAGCGGTGACGGTGTCAAATAAAGATAATTTTTCAACATAAAAACATATGTGTAAAATAAATAAATTAAATTACAAATAAATTAATATTAGGTATATATGTAATAACCCCTTTATTAATAAAAACTAAAACGTTTTACAAATTATTTTAACTATTAGATAAAGTATTTTGTTACTGTCTTCCAAATTGAGAATTTAGCGCAAAAAAGGACAACATATTTTAATAGCTAAAATAAGTTTAGTACAGGCTTGATTTTTTTATGAATAAAAGGTTTAATATCCATGACCAAGAGTGATGAATTTCTTAATATGTTAAAATGCCCTTTCAATAGGTGAAATCTTTAGTTTTGTTTTGACCGAAGCTAAACTGTAGAAAATGGCAATATTGCGAAGCAATTTATTACAATTGGCTTTATCAAAATCAATAAGAGTCAATTTGGTGAATTGTGCATGTAAATCTTAAAGGAATTTGTCTGGTAGCAATTAATTGTTAATCAGATGATTTGACATTAATAATTTTTTTTTTATGCAACTTAGAATGGCAAACAAGCTGACGGCACATCTGATGGAAAGTGGTAACCGTCGCCTATAGACTAGAGCAGTACTATGGACATAACAGTGTACTGTTTCGCCCATGATACCCCCATGCGTTGCCACTCCTGAGGATTCAGGTGTTATTCCTCTGTATCCTGTAAATTCACTGCCATATCCCTTCCTTCAAATCGAAACACAGCCATGCAAACGCAACTGCTGGGGAAGAGGGGTTATTAGTAATGGAGACTGAAAATCCCATTGCTTTTAATATACCTAACCAGGGCGACCTTCACGCGGTCCCCTTGGAAACTATCATGGTTAATTCCTGATGAATTCATCATGATGGGCTAACTGGCCTGTTTTCATTTTCATCTATCACCCTTCACTTCTTCACTCCGTCAGCGTATACCGTAAGCGTAAGCGTTTTTTTTTTATGGGTGAAAATGGTATAGTAACCCCGCCTGCGCTAACGGGATACGCTGGCAGAGCACCAGTGAAGGGTGATCGATGAGAATGAAAACAGGCCAGTTAGCCCATCATGATGAATTCATCAGGAATTAATCATGATAGTTTCCAGGGAGAACCGCGAGAAGGTCGACCTGGTTGGGTATATTGCTAGCAATGGGATTCTCAGTTTCCATTACTAACAATCCCTTTCCCCCCCGCACAGGCGGAGTTGTCATTCATTTTCAACATAAAAAAAACCGCATGCTTAATGGTAGAAACACGAATGGGACAGAGTTGCCCAAGCAAACTATTTAATTGTTGTTTGTTGTTTTAATGGCTTTGTTTGTGAAATAGAAACTTCAAAGCAAGTTATTCTACACTAGTGCTTTAAAATTACAATTTTTATTTAGAACTGTTACTAATTCTGTTAATTGAATGGAATAGATTAAATTGACCTACTTCCTCTTAAAAGTTCTCGCACATGACTCGAAGTGTATTGTATGTAACCGCGTAATCGTACAGAATGGGAAGAAGAGATTGTTAGTAATGGGGACTAGCGGCCCCATAGCTAGCAATATACCCTCTCAAGTCGACTTCTACGCGGTTTCCCCTGAGGATCATCGCGATTAATTCGTATAATTTCATCATGATGGACCAACAGGTCTGCTTTATTCTCCCTTGTCATTCGTTACTAGTGCCCTGCCAGTGCATACCGTTAGCACAGGCGGAGTTACCATTCTATTATAAATATAGGTAGAGTAATAAAACCGATTCCGTTCCATACAAATATGACATAAAATGACCTTTTTTTTCTCATACGAAATAGACACCTAATAGTAATTTCAAATTTTGGGCCATAGTTATATTTAAAACTGCGCAGCATAACTACCTAAGTTTTTTTAGGATTTTTTATATTTTCTCAATAAAGGTGCTACTTAGAAACATCGTTTTTTTTCTGCAATATTTATATGTACCTATATTTTGCTTTAGATACTTCAGATATAAGTAGATATAGGCACTTCCCTTATATCTGTTTTTCTTATATGGCTTTTTCTCACATTTTCAATCATAACTGAAAAATAAATCAAAATTAGTTTTAAAATGTACAAATGAAGCCCTTTCATATGTTACCTCACTTGGACTAGTAGGTCAATTTTGAAATTTGTACGCTCTAGCAATAAAAATAAAAATATTTTTTCAATTATTTCCATTGCAATATGTGCGGGACAATGATATGTAAAATCATTCCAAATTTCAAATCATAAGGGATCGTATGTACCTTTTTGATAGGGAACCCTAAAAATGAGTTATACAAGCAGTAAATAATTGTTAACTATTAAAAATTTCACAACTAAAACTAGCTTAATTTAAACTAAACAACTCGATTTAGAGAACAGCCGTGTGGTCCCGGCATAGAATAGGCCATCTTCTATTAGGTCAACCTCCACGTGGTTCCCCCTGGAAACTATCGTGAACAATTCTTGTTGAATTCGTCACGATGGGTCAACTGACCTACTTCATCCTCACTTATCATCCTTCACTGGTGCCCCGCCAGCGTATCCTGATAGCGCAGGCGGGCTTAACATTCCATTATCACCCATTAAAAAAAAATAGGCCATCTCTTCCTTTCCCGTGGGTGTCATAAGAGGCGACTAACGGAGGCCGAGCGATGAGCAGCAGCGTCCCTCTTAAAACAGCTCCAAAACCTAACTGCGGTTGCCAATCCGCCTGCCAAGCTACTGGTAAAATCCCCCAAGAGGGATGCTTATGTTCAGCAGTAGACAGTTAAAGGCCGATATGATGATGATGATGATGAACTCGATTCAGTATACGTTAATTATTAGATATTATTTATATTATTTGTAATTATTCTTAATTATTATTATTTTAGAGTTCATTTTCAGTTATTATACCAATTTTGAATTCAAGACAATGAAATCAGAAACGCCGCGTGCACTAAACTACATTTTATATGCTTTTTATTTTCGCCCCCTTAATTTGATTAAATGAAGTAACACAATATTTCAGACTTTGGTGGAATGCAATAAGGTCGATAGTCACTATATCTCGTTTGGTGTTTAGGGCGTTTCATAATTCGAGCGGGCGTTTCAAACCCTCGCGTCTTATTGGTTTTACTCGCAGAGGGTGCGATGAAAATTGGTGTATTGCTGTGACTTTGTTCCAGCGAGCGGATATTTTTTTTAGAAAGTATATTTGCTTAATATATAAATTATTTTAATACATGTAGGAACATAACGAGATTTTACGTTTCAAGAATAGAATCATTTAAAAGTGTTTTCTTCTTACAAATGATCGTAATCAGATAATGGTAATTACATTTTAACATTATCTTTGATGAGCAGGTTTCGCCACTGCTTATATTAGCTGTAAAAGACTACGAAAATTATTTACTATGTACTTATTGGGTCGAAGATACCTATACTATATAAATATTCTATTGTTGTACAAAAATCATAAAGTTGCATTGACTATTTACATAAATTTATTTGTTTCTTGAATTACTTTATTGTTTTTACGTAAAAGATAAAATCACAAAGCAAGTGGTTTATAATTAGGATAGCTCCGATCTCGACAATAACTTGTACAATTATTTTAAATAGTTTACATATCTATTTGTCTACGTTTGTGGGTATCAATAGGTCTAGAGATCACTATTTAAATTATGATCCGTCACCTGTACCGGTCTTTGTGTTCATTATTCTGTATAAATATATATATAAAAAAATATATGTATATAAAAAAAAATTATAAAAAGTTTTCAAGTACTAGTCTAGTCCTGTTATTTATAAAAATTAAAACCTTCTTTACCCATTTACTCAACCTATTTTAACCATTACGTTGTTTTGTTATTTTCTTATAAATTAGAAATTTCGCATCAAAGAAAGAGACAAAATAATTTAATAGCTAAATAGGTTTATGAGAGCTTTGACATTTTTATGAATAAAAGAATAAAAAAATATTCATCTATTGATCGAAAGCATAAGACTAGTGATTAAAATGTAAATACACGTTAATAAAAATATATGTATGGAACTGTAGAATAAAATAATAATATAGGATAACGTATATAAGATATTAAAAATGTAAAAAAAAGAACTATTAAGAGTACGCCATAATATCAAGTAGTATACCCGTTATTATATTATTAATAAAACAATAAACATACATTTATACAATATACAATTGATAAAAGCTCAACGAATGACTAAGTGCCTATAGAATAATAAACGACAACATTGTATTATATTCATTTATTACCTCATCTCAAACCGAAGTCAGAAGCCAAACAAAGGCCGTTTTCATTTAAAAAAAATAAAAAGGATCCGTTGGGACGTGTGGGCAAGGTAAGGTCGTTCGGCTGTCGCGCGGCGATTGGACGAAACGCGGGGCGGGCGGGGCGAAGGGAGAGGTACCACACCCCCGCCTCGTCTCACTCCACCCCCGCTAGCCTGTTCCAACCTACCACTTT